TCAGCCGGCCCTTGACCACGCCGTCATCCTTCTCGACGAAGACAAAGCGCGACTTGAGCACCCGGTCGGGGCTCACCGACTTGATGTGCCGAGACTCCTCTGGAGAGATCACCGTCACCGCGCGCTTCTCGTCGTGGATGGTGTTCCACTCCGTGACCTTGGCATCGTGGATGCGCTGCTTCAACTCCGGCGTCGCCTTGGACTCGTAGATCTCCTTGCGCCCCTTCGCGAGCAAACAGTCCTCCAGCTCCACGCCCTCGTCACCGGCCACCTCCAGCCGGAGGAGGCACTCCGTTGGTATCCCAGGAAGACCCCCGGGTGGTTGGTTGACATAGAACACCTGCCACTCCTCCGCCAGCAGCACCTCGTCCACCTTCACATCCTCGCGAGCCACGAAGAGGGTCTCCGTGGGCCTCATCACCTTAGCCGGTGGCTCTGGGATTTCAGGGTGCGGTTCCTTCACCCTGATGCGTCGCCGCCCCTCGACCTCAGCCGGCGTGGCGTCCTGCAGCGCCTCCGCCACCGGGTCCGCCGACCCTCGGGCACCGGTCGATGCCCTTGGGGGCGACCGACTCCTGGCCCGGCTCTCGAGCCGCTCCACCTCCGAGCGGACATACCCTTTCGGGTTGTCCAGCGCCACCGGCGCCGGTGGTTCTTCTGCGTTCTCCTCCCGGCTCTCCAGCTCTGGTGCCGTCGGCACCGGTCGCGGATCCTCGATCACCGGGTCGAACGTGATCTCCGCTCCAGGTGGCGCCTCCTCCTCGGTGATGTCGATGTAGCCCGGCTGCTGGTTCCTTGCCGAGGCCCGCGCCAGTGCCTCCGGAGAGAGAAGGTCCTCCTCCAGGTCCGCCGCCACGATCTCCTCCCGTGTACCTGGGCGCAGCTGCCAGGGTGCCGTCAAGAGCCACTGGCCGCCGAAGGACACGATGTAGTTGTCCCTCAGCTTGCCCACCACGCGCGCCAGCCCTCGCCATCTGGCCTTGGCCGCCTTCTTGGGATTGCCCTTGCCGCGCCTCCAGAAGGCCACGAAGTCGCCGGCCTTGAAGACCTGGCGCACCCTCGGCCGCGCATCCAGGGCTGCTCTCATGGCCCTGTCGTCCTTCAGGGCCACGGTCGCCATGCGCGCCGCTTGCCGCACCGCCGCCCTGCGGGCGAACTCCTCGTCGTGCATCACCGCCGAGTTGCACACCGGGTCGTTGCCGATCGGCTTCAGCGTCTCCGGCAGCGGCGGGTCCCGGCCGAACACCCACTGCAGCGGGGAGTAGCCGGATCGCCTGGTCAGCCGGTTCTTGGCCTCACAGCAGGCTGCCACGGCCTCCAGCCAGTCCGCCTGGTTGTCGATCGTCTGCTCGGCAATGACCTTCTTGAGGATGCGCTCGAACCACTGGCCGTGCACTTCCGCCTCGGCGTTCTGCTCGTGCGCGTCTCCAGCCGCTCTGTCGACGACGGCGGTGCCATCCTTCTCGAAGCCCTCCATCATGTCAGAGCCAAGGTTCGTCGTGCCACTGTCCACCTTCACCCGAGCCGGCGCATGGTAGTGCTGCACCCAAGTGTGGTGGTAGAGCCTCCGCAACACCGCCGAGGTCTCCTGCTCGAAGAATGGCTCCACCTGCTGCAGCTCCGACCCCGTGTCCACCACGTTGAGCGCCTTGACGGTGACCGGGCCGCCGATCCACCCGGGGAAGTGCTTGACGTCCAGGCTGATCGTGTGCAACGGTGGGACGTCCTTCGCCGGCGCCGCCGGCTGCAGCACCTTGGGTTGAACATTCATGTCACACACGTCGCAGGTGAGCCGGCGCGCGATCTTCAGCGCCTGCTCGCAGGCGCCGCCGTTCTTCAGCACCCGCACCAGGGTGTCCGCGCCAGGATGCCCCAGGTTCTTGTGGAGCCGCATCAGGGCGGTCCTGATGTTGTCCTCCGTCAGCTTCGGCAAGTCCCCTTCAGTCGCCAACGCCTCCGCCATGAAGCTCACGGCATCCCTCGTGTCAAGGGCTGCCAGCGCGCCCTCGACCACTCGCACCAGCAAGTCCTCCGGGTACGTCTCCGTGTAGCCGCTCCTCTTCGTACCTCCGTGCATGGTGCCCAGCGTCACCGTGTGCTGGTGGCCGCCGCGACACTTGGCCTCCACTGCCTCGGCCAGCGTAGCGTCGTTGGTGAGGAACTGCCACTGCTTACTGAAGTAGAGGTCGGTCCCAGGCTCCTTCAGGCCAGCTTCGCACGCCGCGCTGGTGACCAGGTAAAACTGCTCCCGGTAACGGTCCACGAGCGCCACCAGTGCCTTGACCTGCCAGGATTTTGCCCGCGCCGGCGCTTCGAACAGGAACAGGCGGCCGCCGCGGGTCTGCATATCCGCCACCCGCATGCACCACTCCACGTAGCCGATCGCCCGCTTGCAGTCGCGGATCCACTTCACCGGGTCCTTCGGACAGGCCGTGAGGTTCTGGAGGACCGACAGCATCCGGCACGGAGGGCTCATTAGCACCAGCCATGGCTTCTCGTGCTCAATGATGCTCTCCACCTCCAGCCGCACCTCCGGGTCGTCGAGGTCCCAGCCCGTCTTGAGATCGAAGGCCCCCAGACTCGACATGCCTGCCATCGCGGCGGCCTGGGCCAGCCGCAGTGGAGAGAACAGCTCCAGCACTGCCACGTCCGCACGGTTGTTCAATCGGGCCTGCGCCGCCGCCGCCATCAGTGTCCGGCGCTGCTTCTTGGTCAGCGTCACCGCCTTCACCTCGGGAAGATCCTCCACCTGGGCCTCCTGAGCCGTCATCAGCGCATGCTCTGGCACATCTTCAGTCGGCCGATCCATCTCTGCTGGGGTCGGACTGGCCGTCGTCGGGCGCTCCGTCTCCCCAGGCGAGCCCTCGCCCAGAGAATCGTTCGCACCGTCCAGGCTGTCGTCGTCGGTCACTGCCTCCGGCTGGGGTGGAACCTTCTCCACCTCCACTGCCGGGAGCTCCACCGTTGCGCTGAACACCTGCACCTCCTCCGTCTGCCAGCTCGGCCGGGCTGCCGGCCGCATGCCAGCCACCGGGGCCGTGCACAGGTCCATCACGTAGTGGCCCTCGGAGTCGCCAGACGTCTCGAGCTTGATCGTCTCGTTGAGCTTCTGGAAGTGCATCTCGTCGGTGGCGAAGTTCAGATGACCACCGAGGTCCTTTGCCCAGCGCTTGGAGAGCAGCAGTGGGGTCGTTCCACGCACCACGTTGACGCACACCTTGATGAAGTGGCTTCCCACCCAGGCCGGCAGCCATACGCGCGTGTTGGACCGCTCCGTGTCGTCATTGCCGAACCTGAAGATGGTGTCCGTCTTGTCGCGCACCGTGGTGAAGTCGTCCTCCAACCCACCAGTAGCTTGCCACTTCTCGCGGTAGACCCTGAGGGTGTCCTGCCCGATGATGCCCTTGGAGCAGCCGCTGTCCACGCAGCCCGTGCCCTCGTTGATAATGAAGTTCGCCGACTCCTCCACGCCCTGCTTGGCCTCCTTCGGCCCTTGCCCCCAGCTCCTGACGTCGTCCAGCGTCGACTTGATGACGTCCCACGGGCGCACCGTCGCCGTCTCCATCGCGACCTTGAAGGCCGAGTACCCCGCGCACCAGCGGGCGCTACGCACCGACGCACTGGCCGATGAGGACCCAGCCGTCGACGAAGAAGGATTCCGTCTCGGCTCTGGACAGTTCCTGGAGAAGTGGCCTAACTTCTTGCAGTTGTAGCACTTAGTACGACGTCTCACCTCCTCCAACGGCGACTGCTTGACGCCGAACTTACGGCTGAGCTTCGTGTTATTGATCGCCGTACGTGCCTCTTTCCAGGTCCCAGCTGATTTCGTCCACGTCGCGAGGACATCCAGGGCCTCGTGCTCCTCCAGGACCTCGTCCTCCGGGATGTCCAGCGTGCCGTCGCGCTCCAAGAGCAGCGCCTGCACCTCGGCGCCCTCCACCACGTCCTTGGCCTCGCCCATCCCGGTCTCGTCCTCGCCGTCCTGCTCCACGAGGTGGACCCGGTTGCTCTGTCGTACAGGCTTCGTCTTGAACGTCGCCCGGAGAGCCGACGCCAGCTTGTTGATCTGCCACGATCTGCCCGATGCCGCGAGAACCACAGCACGATCAGTTGCCTCCAGCCGAGCACCCCGTAGCAGCGCATGTCCTTGCGCCTCGGGAGGATACTGGACACCCTCCTGCATCGCCTTCGCGAACACCTGCAGGGTCCGTCCCACGTAGTTCGTTGCACTCTCGTTGTTCTCCCAGCGCAGGTCGTAGACGGCGTCCAGGGCCTCCGCCAGGCGGTCCTCCGGCGCTGCCTCCGGGTATCGCAGGTCGAGCCGGTCGAAGATCACCTGCTCGCCTCCCTCGACTGCCAGATCCGCGTCGACGTCGATGTCGTCGAAGATGATCTGCGCCACCCCGTCAAGGAAAGTGAACAGCAGCGGGCCCTTGTCCTCTGGCTTGAGATTGCTGCGCAGCAGGCGCGCCTTCGCCCACTGCTTCCAGCGCTTGTACTCCCGTGGGTCGAGAGTCTCCGCCGTGAACACCCGATCCTTGGTGTTCCCCTCTGCCGCCATGCCCGCAGCTCGCCCCTGAAGCTGCTAGACACCGTGTCGTCGCCTCTGCGCACACGCTCCACGCTACCAATGCTGATCACAGCACAGCAGCAGAGCAGCAGCAATGGCCAGGATGCTGGTTTCTCAGGCGCGCCCGCGCCTGCCTCTGGTGGTGTCGCCGCACTCCTGTGCGGCAGAAAAGGGCCGTCTGGCCTCCCTGGGCCAAGGTGCCAGAGCCTGGAAGGCTGCGGAGAAAAGAGAAGGACGGGGGGGAAAGAGAAAGAGAAAGAGAGCCTGCTCGTCTGTCACCTCCCCTCCCCTCCCCTCCCCTCCCCTCCCCTCCCCTCCCCTCCCCTCCCCTCCCTCCCTCCCCCTCCCCCTCCCCCTCCCTTACCTCCCTCCCCCCTCCTCCCCCACCCTTCCGCCCGTCCCGTCCGCATCCGCCGGCGGCGGCACAGTCCTGGCCCGGCAGGCGCGGTGGTGGACGTGGTGCTCCTTGTGCTCGTCGCCTCAGGGCGCGGCCACTGCCACCGGCCGCCGCACGCAGCCGCGTCCCCTCGGAGGCCCTCGGGGCCTCTGGGAGGCCGCGCGTTTCGAAGATTCTCGGGCGGGTGGTAATGGGGGTGACCTAAACAGGGGGTAAAGAAAAAGGCCCGGAGGGGCCCTGCAGGGCTCCTTAAGGGCCCTTTTCTCCCCTCCCCCGTTCAGGTCCCCCCCCATTGCCACCCGCGCGAGGTTCGAGAAGACGTGGAGCTCGGAGTCGGGGGACTCGGGTTGGCCCGGCGGGGCCGCCAGGAAAATGACGAGACCCACTCTGAAATTTGACGCGAGCCCCGCTGAAGACGTCCCACTTAGACTGGACTGGCAAAATGCCCGTCAGAAAACGGTGGCAAACCCGAGCTCCGGCGGACTCGCGTCTTGCGTTCCCCCGAATCATCGACGATCTGGACCTCTGGGAGGCCACGAGGATTTGGTGCCTCGGGGAGGTCGAAATGATCGAAGACTGGAGGCCTCGAGGATCGATGGGAGACCCCAGTCTTGTGGGGGGGCCTCTGGAGGCGGCGAGGATCGAAGACCGAGGATCCACGTGGAGGACCTGGAGACCTCGAGGATTGATCGGGGATCCCAAGCTTTTGGGGCCCCTGGCGGACCCGAGGATCGAAGGTCGAGGTCTGCTTTTTTGGTTTGCCCCTGGAGGCCTCCACAGGCCTCTGGGGGATCTCCGGGGACACCCTCGAGGCGATCGTCGCCGTCGCCGCCGCAGCCGAGGTTCGAGGATCCAGACTTCTGAACATCTGTGGAGCCTCTGGATCGGATGTGCACTGAAGAGCGGCCCTGGGCAAGCGTGGCCTCTGGCGGATGCGAGGCTTTCGGGGGCGGCATGCGGGGATGGGGGAGGGGGCAATGCAGGCACGCAGGCACGCAAGTCAACGCTGTGGACCCACACCAAAGATCACTCCTGCGAAGGGTTGCTCTTACGCGTAACTCGCAGCCGGGAGGCCTCAAGAAACCTCCAGGAGACCTCTGGGGACCTCCGGGCGGTCGTCGCAGTCGCCGTCGCCGCCGCCGCCGCGGCCGCGGCCTGTTTGCTTTATTTCCCTCTCTTTCTCTCTTGTCTGTCGCATCTAAAGTGTTGATGTGCGTGTGTGTGTGTGTGTGTGTGTGTGTGTGTGTGTGTGTGTGTGTGTTTCTCTCTCTCTCTCTCTCTAGCACTCTCTCTCTCTCTCTCTCTCTAGCACTCTCTATATTTCTCTCGCTCTCCCATTTGTATATATATATATATATATATATATTCATTTATACATACGCACATATGTGTATATATATATATATATGTATATATATGTATGTACATACATGTATGTGTGCATGTATGTATATTTATGACCTATAGATACGCCACCGTGACGCTGGCACGCAATGAAGTGCCCCAAGGCTCATGCAGCACTGGGAGGTAGACGCTGTGCGGCTGTTGCTGCGAGAACTGCAAGACTTGAAGGGCCCAAACCAATCGTGTCCCAAGCCTTCCTGGGGGTTCCCGGGCTGGCTCCCATGAGTTTTGATGCGCTTCCTGCGCCTCCTGTGGACGATGCACTCCCCCAAGCGACCTCCAGAACCCTCCCATGAGTCCAAGATGGCCCCGAGTCGCCGAACGATCGCTCCAAGAAGCCCAAGATGGCCCAAGACCCATCTACCCGGACCCCACCTGGGAGGCCTTGAATACAATTCAAGATGACGTTTCAGAAAAGAATGCGGGAATAGGGGAGCGATTAATAAAAAAGTGTCTGAGTCTTCGGCTTCCGCTTCGCTTCGGCTCCGTGTGGCCCGTCGGCCGTCCAGGCGCGCGCCCGAGGAGAGCGAGAGGGAACGACTTTACAATAGCTTCCCAGCCAAAGGCCGTTTTTCTGAAAATCATCCTGGGCGCCGCCGCGTAAATACGACACCCAGAAATTCCTGAATCATCACCGATATCCGACGTAGCAAAAAAACACATCGTAAAATACCATGCTCGGAGCCCGACCCCAGACCCCATCTGTTACCATCTGTCTGCGCCATTTTCCGAACCGCGTCGATCTGTGAGGGTCCTGGGGCCCGCAATTCAGCGAAACGCCCGGCTCGAAAAAATAGGTCGCCAGGGTCTCAGGGTAGGCAACCGCCATCGCACGCTGGCGCCCTAGGCGTTCCCACAGACACGGCCAGCGCGCGGAGAGACGGATAGAGAGATTATATATGATTAGAGAGAGAGAGAGAGAGAGAGAGAGAGAGAGAGAGAGAGAGAAAAAACAAAAAAAAACAAAAAAGAGAAAGATAGAGAGAGAGAGAGACAGAGAAAGAGAGAGAGAGAGAGAGAGACAACACAAAACAAAGAAAGGGGGATAAAGAGAGAAAGAGAGAGAGAGAGAGAGAAAGAGCGAGAGAGAGAGAGAGAGAACACGAAGAGAGAAAGAGAGAGAGAGAGGACAAACAAAAACGCGGTCTGCCCTCCCTGGCTTGCCGGCGCCGTGCCCCCGCGCGCGGGCGTGGTGCTGTCCGCCCGCAGGACCAGGGTGGTGTTCCTCAGCTTCATGTTCGGGACCTCGGGCTGGGCGCTCCTCCTCCTCCCCCTGCTTTTCCTCTTCCTCCTCCCCCTCGTCCTCCTCAGCCTCGTATTCAATACCTCGGGTTGGGTGCGCTTCCTCCTCCTCCTCCTCCTCCTCCTCCTCCTCCTCTTCCTCCTCCTCCCCCTCCTCCTCCTCGTCCTCCTCCTCCTCCTCCTCCTCCTCCTCCTCCTCCTCCTCCTCCTCCTTCTCTTCCTCCTCCTCCCCCTCCTCCTCCTCCGTCTCCGCAGAAAGAAAAGAAGAGGACAGAGGCGGGCCCGCAAGCAGCAGCAAGGGGCGAGGGAGCCCTGGAGTCCTGGAGGCAAGCCGCACAGAACCGCCTCGGGAAGAGGCAGGTGGCGCCAACGAGACACGACACAACCCACGGGCCACTTCCGCCACCGCGTGCCAGAGCCGGCGCAGCTGGCGAGAGCAGCTGTGAGGGCAAGGGGGAAGGGCGAGGAAAACGGCGGAGGCGAAACGATAGGCGCGTGCGGCAGCAAGGGCGGCCCGGCAGGGGCAGGGAGAGGAAGGACAGGGTCGGTCGGATGGGTGGTGGTAATGGCAATGGTGGTGGTCATGGCGCCGTCGTGCTGGCCGTGGTCGTGGTCGTGGTGCTGGTCGGCGACAGTCGCGGTAGCGAACGTGCTGGCGCTGGTCGTGGTCGTGGCGTCGGTGATCGTTTTCAAACTCGTCGTCGTGGTGTTGGTGGTGGCGGCGGTGGTTGTCGTGCTGGTGGCGGTCGCGATTGTCCGTCCGGGTGCGTGGTTGTGGTCGCGGCCGTTTGTGGTGGTCATTGCGTTTGCGGCGGTTGCAGTGGATCAAGCGGAAGCGGGGGGTTCCTCGCCTAGCGCCCTGCTTCCTTTCCCCAGCTCCGCCCCTCGGATCCCCGGCGGATCGGGATCTGGAGCCCTCCTGGAGTAACCCTTCAGGCCGCTCCCGCCTTCCTCCTCAATATCCTCTCCTCGGGGCGCCGGTGATGATGGGGAGGTAGAGGAGGAAGAGGAGGAGAAGGAGGAGGCGGAGGAGGAGGAGGAGGAGGCGGAGGAGGAGGAGGAGGAGGAGGAGGAGGAGGGGAGGAGAGCAGGAGGATGCGGAGGCGGAGGAGGAGGACGAGGAGGAGGAGGAGGAGGAGGAGGAGAGGAGGAGGAGGAGGAGGAGGAGGACGAGGAGGGGGAGGAGGAGGAAGAGGAGGAGGACGAGGAACACTTTTTTCCATCGTGGCCCGAGGCGCCAAGGCTGTGTCTGCTGCCTGGGCGCGAGCTCGTGGCCTGGCGCGGACCGCCGCGGCCGCTGCCCCCCCCGCGGCGGGGAGGCGCGCGCGCAAGGCACCGACCGCGACGCGGCAAGTGCGAAAATGAATCTCGCTGTGGAGGTTTGTCGAGCAAACTCGAGCATGTACAATGACCTCAACGGCCACTTAGGCCAAGGGCGACGGAGGAGGACAGGAGGGAGAGACAGGGAGGCGCAGGACGGGAATACGCCATGCAAGGGAACCCTCTGTTCTGACGAACGTCTGGATTTTCTTTCCTCAGCTCCGCTCCTCGGATCCCCGGCGGACCAGGGTCTGAAGCCCTCCTGTGCTAACCCCTCAGGCCGCGTTCGCACTCCTCCTCGGTCTCCTCTCCTCTGGGCGCTGATGGGGAGGCGGAGGGGGAGGAGGGGCACATTTTTGCATCGTGACCCGCGGCGCCAAGGCAGCTTCTGCTACCTGGGGGCGAGCTCCCGGCCCGGCGAACCGTCGCGGTCGCCGTCCCCCTCAAAGCTCCTCTGGGGCCTCCGCCTCGCGCCGCGGGCCTCGGTGTCCCCCTCGAGGGCGTCCGTCCGTGCTGGAGGGGGGACCTGACCGAGCCGCTTCATGCCCCTTGGCAGCCGTGCTGCCGCGCGCTCTGGCCTGCGCCGCTGCCGCCGGCCCCAAGCCGCCGCCGCTCAGGTCTCGCAAGGCCCCCCCCGCGCTGCAGCCATTGGCCTGCGCGGCCGGCTGAGCTGCCCCTGCGCTCGAGCCTCCGAGGCCCCGCCGCGGCTGCCCGCTGCGCCTCCTCCTCCTCGGGCCATGGTCAGGTCCGCTGCCGCCGCGCTGCTGGCCGCGCCCAGCGCCGTGTCCCTCGCCTCCCAGAAGTGCCCCTGGAACGCGTCGCTGTTCCCGCGCCCCCGCCTCTGCGCTGGCGTTCACGCTGCGGGCAGGGCAGATGCGCCGCCGACCCGCAGGCCGCGGGGGCCGAAGCCATTCGGATCGACTCCCTCCTCCATGGCCGCCTGCGTCGCCACCAGCTGGACGTCCTCTCGCGCGACCAGCTTCTCATCGCTGAAGGCGAACAGCGGGTCGTGCGCCCTCGCGCCTGAGAGCCCCTCCTTCGCCCGGCCCTCGTAGATAGCCAGGGCCTCCACGACGCACAGGCGGACTTCCGCCCCCTCGCATGCCGCCGCCCCGAGTTTGAAGCGGTTGCGCCACTCCCCGCGGTTGCGCTGGCCAGTCCAACTGCCCCGGATCTCGATGGCCACTTCGCGCGCCCCGGGCCGGCTACTGCGCGGTTCGCCCGCCGTCTACGGCGCGACGCCCCATCGCCGCGCGTCTCCCGCCTTTCTATGCGCCTTTCCACCTCGTCGCCCGACCCCGGCTCCGCCTGGGGCGCCGCTCGGGGCTGCCTCGCCCGCTGCGCGGCGAGGCGCGCCCCTTCGCCTGCCCTGCCGGGCAGCCTCCTCGCGCGCAGCATCGCCCTGCACTCCGGGGGGGGGTGGCGGCCGCTCCTCGCAGAGGCCCCCGCGCCCGCCCCGCATCTGCGCGGCCCCGCCGCAGGTGGCGCCCCAGCTCCCTGGTGCGAGCCCCTCGGCGATGGTGCCGGGCTCGGTTCCGTCGGCTGGGCGGGGGCTCTGCCTTCGCATCTCATTTGTATTGTAATGATATTTCTTTATTTATATAATGTTTCTCTTTCTTTCGGCGCCGACCCCCCATGCCTGCCGAATCGGGCCGGGCGTTGCCCCTGGTTCGTACCTCCTCCCGCCCAGTTTCATCTCGCGCGCTCGTTGCAGCGGTGGCCAGGGCGCCATGGCGCGGCGGGGGCGCAGCGCTCAAGATGCGGGCAGCCCGGCGCGCCGCGCGGCAGCCCCCCCCGCGCCGGCGAATGGTTCCGCGCCGCAGCTCCCCCCCCGGGGCTGCGCAAAGCGGGGTCCGCGGTGCGCCTCCCGGCGCGCCCGGCCGCAGCAGGTCCGCTTCCGTCTCCACGGGCCCCGCGCCTCCTATTTCCAGCTGCGCGCGCAGGCGGTCGCGCCCCGCCCCCTCTTCCAGCCCGGCTGGGCCGCGTCTGGGCCCCGCTCTGCCTCCATAGATATCCGGCTCGGGCGCTGCTCTTCCAAGCGGGGCTGGGCTGGGGTGGCGGGGCGCTGGCGCCCGGGAGGTTCGGGCAGCTCCGCGATGGGCTCCTGCTCCGGCCCCGCGCGGCGCATCCTGAAGTTGACAAAATTCAGACCGTCAGCGCTCCTCTCGCCGACCGCGGTCGCGCGCCTGCGCGGGCCGAGCGGCGGCGCCCTGCGAAGCGGCGGCTGGGCCTCGCCCGCGCCGCCTGGCCAGGGGTCGCCTTGGCAAGGGGCCCGCTCGGCGCCTTGGCCACGGCTCGGGCCCCGCCTCCCCCCTGGTGCGCTCGGCTTTGCGGAGAGGGCCGCCCCTGCCGACGGGGGGTCGTCTTCCCCCGGCTGTAGCGGCAGCGCCCCGCATCTCGCGCGCCCCAGGTCCCTGCTAGCCATCGCCTGCCCCCAGGGCCTTCAGGCGTTCCAAGTGCCCCCCGCGCCCATCCGTTAGATGCTCGGCAGCGGCTCGCGCGACCCACGGCGAGGGCGCGGTCGTTGGCTGCGCCGCTCGCGGAGGCCACCTTAGGCGCGGCGCCCGGCGCTCCGAGGAGGACGACCTCCTTCGCCCCCCCCTCCTCGGCCCCCCTGGGCCGCCGCGCCCGGGGTTGCGCGGGTCGAGCACCGGCCCCCCGCCCTCGCCTCGCAGGCGCGCGGCCTCTGCCCGCGCGTTGCCCAGAGAGGATGCTCAGCGTCTCGACGTGCTCCCGGCCTCAGCTGGCGGGCTCCCCGCCTCCTCTGGCAGCCGGCGTCGCTCTCCCGCGCCGGGCCGCGGCGTCGCCTAGCCCCCCGCGGCGCGCCTCTACCCCCCCCCAGCCGTAGCCTTTCTCACTCCAGCGCCTGGCGCGGGCAGGGCCCGCCTTAGCCGGCCCCGGGGCGTCGGCGATCGCCGCCGGCGCTCGTGCCTGGATAACGAACTCCGCCCAGCGCCCGCCTTCCTCGCCGCTGTCGTTGGCGGGGCCGGCAACTGCGACGCTCGCTGGCCCGGCCGTCTTGGCCACCCACTCGGCGAGCACGGGCGGCCGCGGGGCGTGCCCGGCCGTCGGGCCCCCCGCGGCGCCGCGCGCCCGCCGCGCGCCCGCGCGGCGGCTTCCCGCCGGGCGCCCGCCTTGCATGGCGCGCCCAGGGCTCCGCGCCACTCGACGATCACGACGCCCCGCCTGGCGCCATCCTGGGCGCCCCCGGGCGGCGCGGCTCCATTCTGGCCGCTGCCGAGAGCTGGCCCGCCCGCGCGCCCACGTCGATTTGGCCCAGGTGTCCTGCAAGCTGACGACCTCCAGGCCCGCCTCCTCCGCGACCCGCCTGGCTTCCCCCTCCTCCACGCGCGAGGAGGTGTCGGCCGTGGCGTTGTGGCGCGCGCGAAAATACGCGCTCGCGATCTCGTAGTCGTGGACAGCCTCCATGCACGTGGCCACCGCGAACAGGAAGCTAGCGCATCGGTTCCTTGCCCGCCTGTTCTGCAGCCAGCGGTGCACGTCGCTTTTGCCCCCGCCGCGCATCGCCACGGCCTGCGCCAGCCAGCTTTCTGCCCCGGCCTCTCGGCGGCGACGACAGGGGCGAATTGCCCAGGGGCGGCGTTGCACTAAGTCGCCCGGGAGCCATTTCGAAGTCATCGGCTATTCGCCCCTATCGTCGCCTCCGAGCCTCGGCGGCGAAAGTGACCAGGTTCACGAACTCCGCGATCGCTACGATGGCTTCTTATGCCCCCCCGATTCCCCATGAAGTCCCGCATAGAATGGGAAACGCACTTGGAATTGGCCCAGTCAAGGGTGGCGATGCGTTCCGGCGCGGCGCCCCCCCCCATCGCTCAACAACGTGCCCCAGGGCAAGCGCTCGTTGATCCTCAGAACGCTTGACGGGGCGCCCGCGAGCCTCGTCGGCCATTCAGTTCGGTCTGCCGCCAGGGCGCGCGCCACCTCTGTGGCCTGCCAGAAGTCAATCCAAATCAGCGGGCCTTTGGCTTCTTCTTCTTCCTGGGGCCCTGCAAGACGTCTCGGGCGCCCCCTCATCGACCCATCCGTGGCCCGTTCCAGGCGCCGCCTACCCGGCATCACCAACTTCCAGCACTGCTGGTTCCCCCGGTACACCTCCATGAAGTTCCGGGGGATGTTCTGCTGGCCATAGTCTAAGGACGGGTCCGCCAGGATTTGCGCCGTCTTCTCGGGGCTGGCATCTCGATCGTGCCCTCCTTTGCGCGGTAAAGAACGCCCCAACATCCCGTAAGTCTCTCAGCCCCCTTCCTCCAAATCCTCCCTCTCGTTGATCGCGTCCTCGCCCGAATATGTCCTGATGCCCCCAAGGGCCGCGGCGCCACTCAGAACAGCGCGAGCGCCGATGTCGGGCTCCCCTCACACCTGGTCATCCATCAAAAACGAGCTGTGAAAAGGGACAGCGTTGTCCCACCTGGCGTCTGCCGAACGATGGGCTGCATGGTGAAACGTGGCCACCCAGGCCAATGTCATCCATTCGCCCGGGCTGCCTGTCCAGCCGAAGGTGAGCACCATGTAGAGGGCCGTGATGAAGGCAGCTGCTCCCCACTTGCCCCCTCGAGGTCGGCCCAGAAGATGCAGGCGTCCATCTCGCGCATCACCACCCAGCGAAACGCGTCGTTGATGTCCTTCTTGGCCTTGTAAGTTCGACGCTAGGTAGGCGGGCTTTCCGCCATAGGATGGTGCGCGCCAAATCCTCGTGCCTGGGCTGGTCGGCTGGGGGTTTGCCCTCCTTCGGGCAGCGCTCGTTAGGCACGGTGTTGTCCCATATCAGCCTGCCCTTGTCGCTCATCGTGCGGTCGGGGTTCTGCTCGCCACCTTGCTGAATAGATGCTCGTGGGCGTTGGTGCACAACGTCTGCCACGTCTTCCCAGAAGGCGCCCATAACCTCGCCCACGTAATCCTTTGCACTCGGGCGAGAAGTAAGGCCTTGAGGCGCGTCGGCTTGCCTCTGAACCTCGTCCGTCTCGAACCACCCCCTGGGCGTACTCCGGCAGCGCGCCATCCACCAGCGGCTCCAGATTTTTGCCAGCTATGCCCCCCAAATGGTAGCTGCGCCTTTTCCCGCCAGACCCCACGCAGCGCCACGATGGCCTTCTCGAGCGACCCTGCTCCTCGAGCACAGCGTCGCCGAATCCCACGAGTCTGCTGACCGAGTCTGGGCAATGCTCCTCCTCCTCCTCCTCCTCCTCCTCCTCCTCCTCCTCCTCCTCCTCCTCCTCCTCCCTCCCTCCCGTTCGAGAACTCGGGCCGGGCGCTCGGAAGGGCGCGAGGAACTACAGGCTAGAAAGGGCCAGAGGGAGGGGCGGCCAGAGGCGCCAGCTGTGTACCTACCCCGATCCTGGACAGGCCGATCCTGGGCCCGGGGTCGGAAGCATAGGCATCCCCTGGCCACGCCAGGAAAGCGTGTGTGTATATATATAGAGAGAGAGAGAGAGAGAGAGACATATCCCGGGCAATGGATGGACCTGGCCAGGATCCTTGGTGTACAGCTGGCGCCCTTCGAAGAGGGTGGGGGGCTGAGGCCAAGGGCCATGCAACTCCACATTTGGGTTGCGTAGATTGGGGGGAGAGCAGTCGCCGCTGAATTCTAACTGAATTTGTTTTAATTTCTCCCCATTCGTTTCGGATTTCATCCATTTCTGCTAATTCGTCTCAATTTCTTTCAGTTACACTTGGCGGCGCTCTCGACTTTCGCCTCTCCTGTTGGCGCCACCCCCCTGTGGAGCGAGGGGGAAGGGAGAGCTGGAGACCTCCAAGGGCCTTGGGGCCCCCCGGAGGCCCCCTGGTGGTGTACGGCAGCCTCAAGCTCGGGACCTCGGACCGGGCGCTCGGAGGGGGCCTGGAGGCTGAAGGGCCAGAGGGGGCGGTCAAAGGCCAGGGGGGGTTCCTCAGAGGAACAAGCAATGATAAACATACGCTTTCGGAGGTCCGCGTGGATTTCTCGGAACGGCGCTGGGGTCCCCCTGGCGGCGCATCCAGCGCCGGCCCTGGCGCGCTCCGCGCGCCAGAGAGGGGAATCCAGCGCCGATCCGAGAAATTCGCGCGGTCCTTGGAAAGTTCATGTTTATGTCGTTGCTTGTTTCACGAGTTATGGAGTTTTCCAATTGCGGTTCCCAAGCGGGTGCAATGACAGACCGTGCGCGGTGATCTCGGAATCACCACGACCTCACCGCACGGTCCGCCACCGAACGTTTTTGGGACCTTGGATGCCACAGCCGCCCGAGACATCCTCGGACAACGGCCCAAGTGCCAAGACCGTGCGGCCATCCCGAATCCCCACACGACTCATCACACGGTGTGGTCACTGCGTGGTTCGGGGGGGCTTGACGCAAACGCCTCCGGAGATCCCCGGAGGTCCTGGGAGGCCTCCGCTGGTGTTACTCAGCCTCTCGTCAGGAACCTCGCGGCGCCGGCCGCCGCGCATGGACTCTCTTCTTCCCCTTCTTCCCTTGCCTCTGTCGCCATGAAGCATACGAATCCTGAGGAAAAAGGCTCCTGCTGTTTCTTGTTCCCCGCTATTTTCGGCTCCAAGAGGCCCTTGCTGGGCACTGGGGCCGTCAAGAACCAACTCGGGATGGAAAACTGGTTCAAAGACTTCAGGCCTCTGGGGGTACACGTTTTGTGCAGATCACGAAGTCGGACACCTGGTTCTCTGGCTGCTTCTCCCCCGCCCCTTCGCATCACCTCCTGCACTTCTATTAATTCGCGTGCTCGCGCCCCGCATTCGCTTGATCGCCTCGGAACGTGTCCGCGTCCGTCCACACCAAACGTCTGGAACCTCATATCGGGCCTTCGGGTGTGATGGGCATGGCCAGAAGGGGGTACTAAGACCACAAGGGGGGGTAGGGAAACATCGCGGAAGAAAAGTCCAGGATAAGGAAGCGCCGGCCTACGGACGGGTTCGCCCACTGGCGATGCACTCCACCTACGGCCACCCGATCAAAGCGAGGATAATTCTTTAGAGGAAATTTCAGGTCCTCTGGGTCTCCGCAGAGGGCTCCGGGGACCTCTAGACGCACCCGCGTTAGTCAAGCGTTTCCTCTGGAGGCCTCCTTGAAAACTTTGATCGTGAGTTTGCCACGATCTCGCGATTTTGCTGCGACGTCGGAGCTTAAATAATCGCCCGTGGCCCAGGATCTGCTGAAGTAAGTTTGCATCGGGAGGGTGCAAGAGGAAGAGGTGGTGGAGGAGGCGGAGCGAGGGAGGGGGGGGAATGAAAAAGAGAAGACCGACCGATGCGGCAATCTTTCCAGAACTCCGACATCTCAATTTTGCTGTAATGTGTGCGATGTTTTCAAGCCGTGTGCTCTTGATCTCGCGACTCCTGCCTTGCCGCGGTCGATTTCTCATCCCAGGCTCGTTGTCTGATGGCGCCAGGGCTCCAAGGCGGCCCCCGAGGCCGAAATGAACAAGAACAACAGAAACGGATTGAATCACTCACGACTTCGAAGGTCGTCGTCTCCAATCGGCGCCGAGGGCGCCCCACGGGGGCCTAAAAACAGAGCGAAGGACCTCCCGAAACCTTGACGCTCGATCCTTCCCATCCTCGTCTGGCAGTGTCTAGCCTATGTCCAACGAGGCATACTGAGGATCCTTAACAACGAAGCAAAAAACAAATCCGCGAGCTTTCGATCCTCCGACGTCCTCCCCACCCAAAACTCTGATGTCGTGATTTTCGGGGCGTCTAAAAGGGGGGCGTCCTAGAGGGGGTGGGTGGGGCGCAATTCATGGCCGGCGGCACGTGCGCGGCCGGGGGGGGGGGGGGCGGGGACGAAATGAAATAAGATGAGGTGCCATGAAATCTAGGGAGATATCATGGCCACCTCCATGATTCCCCCCTCTAATCATCACCCCCCTCCTGGCTGCTCCCGAGATTTGCGTTGACAAATTGGACCCCTGGAGGTTTAGACCCCTTCCCCGGGACCGGGTTCTCCTACCGCGCCGTCGTTTGGCGGGCCTGGGGCCTTGCAAGGGCCCCCAGGGTGCCGAACATGTAAAAACGCCCGACGGGCGGGGGTCTGGGTCTTCCCCCCCCCACCCTTCCTCCCCCTCCGAGCTCGGAGCGGTCAACACGACGTCGACGTTCTCCCAGTCCGCCGCGCCGTCGGCGCCGCCCTGCCCGCCCCCAGTGGAGGTGCACCAGCAGCCGGCGTCGCGGGCGTCGCCCCCGAGATCACCGCTGTGGTTGCCGCCGCGTCTGCCGCCGCTGCCGTCGGCCCTCGTGGCCGCCGCCGCCGTCGTCGCCACCGCCGCCGCCGTCGTCGTCGCCGTCGACTTCGCCGTCGCTGCTGCCTCGCCTCCTCCGCGACTCCGATGCGGCATTTAAGGGCTCGTGGCCCTCCTCCTGCCTCCTTTTCCGCCTCCTTCTCCTCTTTGCTCCTACCTACAGAATGTGGTCATGTGGGCCGTAAGAGCCGTGCGCGCGAGATCCGAAACTCTACTGCTGCTCCCCCCTCCGCCCTCCTCTTCCTCCTCCTTTTCCCTCCTTCCCCTCCTCCTCCTCCTCCTCCTCCTCCTCCTCCTCCTCCTCCTCCTTCACCTCCTCCTCCTTCTCCTCCCATTTCTTGGCACCCCTTCGTGCCTCCGAGAGCCCCACGGAACATCCCAGACCCTGCTGGACCTTCCGATTCCCTACACACCGACTCCTTTTCGTTCTCCTTCACCTTCTCCTCCGCCTCCATGGCTGCTTGGCGCGTACCCTCGTCGCCAGGCAGTAGCATCAAGGACACTACCAGGCGGCAAAGCCAGCGAACCTGTACACTGTCATGGTTCTCCGGTTACCACGGTTCGTTTCCTCTTGGACGCTACCCAGCGGCAAGGCTGCCTTTTCAGCATCCACAGGTTCGGCCCGCTGACCCCTGTCGCAAGGCAATTGCCTCAAAGACACCGGCTGGCGGCAAGGCTGGCGGCCCTGCACAGTTTCACGTTTCCCTTGTTACCACGGTTCGTCCCAGCTTTGGACGCTGCCCTGCGGCAGCGCTAGCTGTCGTGTCGTCCGTCCACAGATTCTGCACGCGCGCTCCCGTCGCCAGCCAGTTGCCTCGAGGACACAGTCCGGCGGCAAGGCCGGCGGTCCTGCACAGTCTCACGCTTATCTGCTTCCAGTTGCACCAATCGCACTTCACAAGAACCAGGGTGAGCACATCCTCTGGTTTGCGAGGTCCTAAATACCCGGGAATGGCTTTTCCTCGACGATGACCATCTACGCCTCTGCGCTGTAGATCTGCCTTGTGGGTCAACTTGTGACCAAGTTGGGGCCTCTTGAGGCCCTTGCTACTGCTCTGGCAGGCTACAACATGAAAATCTACGCTGTTGATTGTCCTTGTGGGCCATCCTGTGACCGCCCTGGGGGTGCTCTTTGGGCCCTTTTGCCGCCTTCCTGCGACTCTGGCAAGTTCCTAGCCCAGACCGACCTCGCTCCGTGCGGTGTGGACCACAGCCCCCAGGCCATCCGCGCCATCGGGCCACCGTGCCCCACAGGGTGGTGGCTCCAGCTAACTGGGCCCACTAATGCGGCTGAAGCGCCCCAAAGCCATAATATTGTATCAAGTCCTCCTCCTCCTCCTCCTCCTCCTCCTCCTCCTCCTCCTCCTCCTCCTCCTCCCCCTCCTCCCCCTCCTCCCCCTACCCACCTCCTCCTCCTCTTGCTCCCTGTCCTCCCCGCCCCCCCTCCCCAGGAACCTTTCTGCAGGTGCCGCTGCAGAACCCAGCGGAGCCACCTGGTACCCACCGCAGGGCACAAAACACGCAGCCGCCGCCGCGGCCCCGATGCGTCGGGGCGGTCCGCGGGATCGAGCGCTGCCCGCGCCGAGGCGGCGTGCTCGGGCCTGGCGAGGCTCACTTGCGCTTAAACGCGAAGTGGTCGATCCACTTGCCGCACCACTTGCCCTTGGGGGCGCCAGTGCGCTCGATGTCGCAGTCGTTGAACTTGTCGACCTGCTCGAAGCCGTGCTTTGCGAGGTATGCGAAAAACTTCTTGTAGTCCATGCAGTGGGAGTGGCAGTCCTTGGCCCCCACCGGCATGTCGCCCTCGATGAGCAGCAGCTTGATCTGCCCGCTCTCGATGACGGGGCCAAGCTGGTCCATCATGTCCTGAGCAGAATCCGTCAGCATCGAATCGAGAAGTCGGATCGGATCGGACTCTGCGTCGGATCGGGCTGCATCGGCACGGAATCGAGATCGAACAGGATCGGCTGCGCCAAAATGTACAACAGCGCCAGGCAAGCATCAGGTAACAATGGATCGTCGGCAAACCGGAATCGAATCGCATCGGGCCAGCTGAACTCGATATCGAATGGGATCGATCGGGTCGAGCAGGACCCTGCCTGGGCGCAGCCCTCGCAATCGATGAGCAGGGTGTCCACCTTCTTGCCGAGGGCGGCCTCGACCTCGTGGAGATGGTAACCAGGCACCACGACGCCACCCTTCTGCAGCGCCCTGTTGGAGTAGCCGCGCTTCACGTTCAGCTTGGGCGCCATGTGCAGGTCCACAGAGCTCACCGCACCACGGAGCAGGTGCGCGTTGCACTCGTGCGACTTCAAGTTCGCCTCGAGGACATCCCACACGTTCAGGTCGGGCTCCACGACCACCACGTCGCCGCTGTTGTTGAGCTTGCGCGCGATCTCACAGCTGGTGGTTCCGAAGCGAGCACCAAACTCCATGACCTAGAATAGCAACTGCATGAACATAACTTTTCGGAAGTCCGCGCCGATTTCCTGGATCGGCGCTGGACCCCCTCTCTACGCGCGCGGAGCGTGCCAGGGGAGGCACCGTGGGAGCCGCCAGGGGGGTTCAAACGTCGACCTGAGAAATCCGCGCGGAGGTTATGTTTATACAAGGTATTGGTCTGTCTCCGAATGACCACGGCATCGTGGGGCACCCAGTCGCGCACGAGTGCGTGCTCGGGGTACTCGGTCTCGCAGTGCAGACCCTCCCCCTTCCAGCTCTCGCAACCTTCGGTGACGACCCCGGCCTGGCCGGCGAACTTGTGGGAGGGGCTGAAGAGCTCGTCCTTCAGAAGTTTCTGGATCTTGGCCTTGCTGTTGCGGGCGTGATCCTTCCCTCCGTGGCCGTGTCCGTGGCTCTTGTCGCCGTGGCCGTGGACCTGGCCGTGCCCGTGGCTGGAGCCGTGGCTGGAGCCGTGGGCGTGCGCCACGTGATGCTTCTTAGGCTCGGTGCGGCCGTGGCCTTCCGTCTGCAAGGCAATTGCTGACAGCGGCGCCCACGGGGCGATCAGGAGTGTGAGCGCGCGAGACATGGTGGTGGGCATGACTCAATACTGCGGTACAGTGGCTCGGAGGACGTGTAATGAAGGTGTCAAGCTGCGCCCTTGAATCAGAGCGGCCACGGGTCTCCTTCTCATCCCCTCCCCTGCCCAAGAAGACCTGTGCTAGACCTTGCGTTCTGACCGAGATGTCGGAGTGGATCCGGCCAGTCGCACCTTGGCAACGACAACACCCCAGGAGGCCCCCGAAAGCTGGAGACAACCAGTGCCCCGAATCACCTCCGCTCCCTGGCTTGCCTGGCTCAAGAGGCCCTGGGGGGCCAAACACGGCAGACACACGCCAAGCAACGCCAAATAGTTTCCAACAACGTCTTCCTTCCTTCCTGCCTCGTGCTCCTCCGCCTGAGACCCTGTAGCCGCCGTTTGGACATAAAGGTCATCCACTAGGACATCCCAGTCAGCAGATAGTAACATGTTCAACGCGATGGGAAAGGATGGTGGGAGGGGCAGGATGCCAGATGTGGCTAGCTTGTCCTCCTCCAGCCCCTTCTGCTTCTCCTGCTCTATCTTCGACCTCCGGGGGCGAGGGACTCCAGAGGCACAGGGTGTCTCCTCGCGGCAAACGTCGTGACCATGATTGGTCGGCCCTGCGGGCATCTCGAGCGCGCTCTTAGGGCTTCCCGTTTCGACCATCAGGAGGACGATGAGGAGGCAAGGCAGGAGGCAGGAAAACGAGGAGGAGGAGGAACAGTAGGAAGACGCCGACAATGATTACACGTAAGACGATCCTGGCCTCGTACTCCAGCCAAGGATCAGTGCATAAGCCGTCCGGGCTTGGCCAGGAGGGCGTACACACCGATCTGGGGCCCAGGACGAGCCTGGCCAGGATCGGTGTGCGCGGGTGTCCGAGAAGAAGGGGGAGGGTCAAGGATCGAGATGCTTGGATGCTCTGGGCCCTCTTGGCCCTCTTGGGGGCACCCGCTCTGGGGACCTCCGAAGGCCCCAGAGAGGGGAGGAGGGAGGGGGGTCAAAGTTCAGGGATGTCTCCAGGACTCTGACAGGGCCCCGATGGATTCTCGGGAGCTCTCCCAGACCCGAAACCCGCTGCGCCCTGGACAGATCCCCACGCCTTGCTGCCTTCTTTTACTTCTTCACTTTCCGGTCACCCCTCCTCCATGCTCCTTGCCGCTGCCTCCGCCTCTCCTTGTTCCTCCTCCCTTGCCCCCTCCACGCCTCCGCCTCTCCTTGCTTTTGACAGCGCAGCTTACCTCGGAGGAGGAGGGGGAGGCGGAGGAGGAGGTGGAGGAGGAGGAGGGGGAGGAGGAGGAGGAGGAGGAGGAGGAGGGGGAGGAGGAGGAGGAGGACTGCCGAGCACGCTATAGGCTTTCAAGTTACTTAAACCCATGTTGAAAGATGAGGCGACCTTCAGAAGTGCAGCGTTCCGCAACCCAATGCTTAAAGCAGCTTGCCCCTGCAGGAGGGATATGTTTGCGAGGGTTCTTGGGGGTCTCATCCTGAAAGTCGCGAGTATGGCAGAAACCAATGCGCCCTGACTTGGTTTCGGACATACTTCGAGAGGACAGCCGGTTGGGCTGTTCGGGTGCGCCATGGGGGCTCAAGGTCTACCATGTTACTCTTTTCTGCCAGCCTTTTTGGGCCAGCAAATGCTGCGGCATGCTGCGAGGGGAGGTGTCGCAGAATCGGGGGGAACCCTCTCGCCTGAGCATTAGGTGTTCGGTGCGAAGAGTACTCACATGGGATACACCCAGAACCACATGCGAACGCATCCCTCACTTCTCAACCCTCGGGAAATCAAGGGTGAAACAAGTTGGACAGCAACCGTTAGGTTGCCACGGCCAATGTTGACCGTAGGGGCGACAAAGGGGGCCTGTTCGCATAGACGTGGGCAATCCCACCAAGCGGAAGAGCAGTTGCCGAAGGATGAAACTTACGTAGCTCCTTGACATCGCTCAACACAAAGCAGACATCCCGTCATGTAGAATAGCTGAGGCTTGCGAATGGGGTGCGATTCATTTTCTCTGAAGGCCTCAGGAGGCCTTCGGAAAGCGCAGCACTGTTTGGTACTTGTGGGCCTCCGACTGTTCGCCCAGAAGACGCACGCGTGCTTGCCGAGAAGCACAAACACATAGTCGTACACAATTTCGACACCCCGCAAGCTGTGGGAACCCCCATCCGCCACCAAAGTAAGACACAACTTCGACTCCACGCAAACTGCGGAAACCTCCATCCGCCGCCGGCCGCGTCCATAGCCCCCTCCCCCAACGTCCTCTCCTCCCGCTCCTCCAGAGAGAGAGACCGAGAGACGCGGTCGCTGCGAGGCTGCAACGCCTCCGGGGAGGGCAGAACTAGAGGCTTGAAGGTGTCTCGGAATACCGCCAGGGGGCCGGGTAGGGGTTTCGCTCACCACCAAGCTCTCCATCCGTACCAGCGTTGCCGATTAGGGTCGCAAGCGTGTGACAGTCACAGAGAATGTGCGATACCACACACCAATCCCAGTTAATGGGATCACGTTGAGCGTGCAATCTACCTGCCGCGTGCTTTGGATCTAGTTTGTTGCGCCGTGTTGGGGGTCGCGGGAAAATCGGCCGCAGCTAGGTGGCCGGAACACTCACACACCAAACACATCAACATGTAACGGAGTGTGTGGCCTGCGAACTACATGTATACATGTGCGGCGGCAACTAAAACAGAGAGGCGCCTAATTACGTAGGCTATAGTGCACGCGGTGCAGGACTCCATTTTGGGGGCTCCTTCGGGTCAGAAGAATAGCCCAAACAACACCCCTGGTTTGTGACGCCGCGTTGGCATCGGAAGCTCGGCTCTCCAGCGGCCGTTCGGGACGACACGGGAAACCCCGGGAACGCTCTCGGCGAGGCGTAGCATAAACATCAGGCCTCGGAGGCCAAGAATTGCTAAAGAACCTGCCGTCGTCTTTTTGTCACGACACGAAGGGGGGTGTCGGTCATCTAGTTTCGCGCATCGCGTCCCACGACGCGCGACTATCTTCGCGTCCTCGCGCCCTCGCGACGCCCCCTTGCAGGAGGGCAGCCTCTCCGTCCCATGTCGAGACGTGCGAAGCGTGATTATCTTCGCGCCCCTGGGGGCGACCTTGTCACAATATTATGTCACGGCGCGGAAGGGGTCGTTTGGGGCTGCGCGTCGTCGTCGTCGTCGTCGTCGTCGTCGTCGTCGTCGTCGGCGGCGGCGGCGGCGGCGGCGGAGGAGGAGGAGGAGGAGGAGGAGGAGGAGGATGATGATGATGATGATGATGATGATGACGATGATGCTGATGATGAGGATGATGAGGATGATGAGGATGATGAGGATGATGATGAGGAGGTAGAGGGGGAGGAGCAAGAGGAGGAGGAACGTGGAAGCAAAGAGGAGAAGGAGGAGGCAGAGGAGGAGGAGGAGGAGAAGGAGGGGGAGGAGGAGCACGGGGATCGTCGTCGTCGTCGTCGTCGTCGTCGTCGTCGTCGTCGTCCCCGCGGGCTTCCTGCGCGGCGAGCGCCGGGCCGAGGGCGGCGGGCAGGGCGGCCAGAGGGCACGTCTGCGGGAAGTCGGGGCAGCAGTCTGCGGGGCGGCATGGCGAGGAGCAGCCGACGGGGCAGAGGGCGGATGGGGGCGGGCAGGGCGGGGGGAGGCGCCTGGGCGGGGGGGGGGGAGACCGAAGAGGGTGGCGACGACGCATGGGACCGGGGGACGCCAGAACCTCTCCGGGCACGTCTGCGGGGAGTCGAGGCGACATGTCTGCGGCGCGGGGGGCGGAGCGCCCGGGGGTGGAGGGGGATCAAGCTGGGCGCGCCCGCGCCACACCTGACATCCGACCCCTCCCACACCTCCTTTCCCATTGCGCTGTGTTTTCCTCTACCCGCGGACTCGCGTCGTAGCGGACCGACCTGGAGCTCCAAAAGAAGCCCAATCGTGCTGCACACAATCGGAGTAGGGGAGATGCGTACATTGGAGAAGGTGGCGGATGAGCAGGAGGATGAGCAAGGGGAGCTGGACGAGGCAGACGGAGGATAAAGACAACCAGCCAGCAGCAGCAGGAGCTGGCGTGGATAGAGCGGGAGGAACAGGAGGGGCACAGGGTGGATGGGGTTTTCGCACCTCCAACGTAACGTATGACATGAAAAAGAGGGCGCGCTTTGATTCGCCGATGTTGGCCTCTGGGGGTCCTCGCTGGGCCCCGTAACTGCCAAACAACTACTCATGACGAAAAACCGGGCCTGGGGAAGGGGTTGGGACTCCTGGGGACTCCACTTTGAAACACATCCAGACATAGGAGATTTGGGCTGCGGGCGGGGAAACGCGAGGGCGACGGGGAGAACCGAGAAGGAAAACGAGGATAACCGGGATGGGGGAGTATTCGGGCATGGCGCGACACGGTACGGGTACGTTCACGAAACAAATGAACAAGCAGACATCAGGAATCCTGGTAAGGGACTTGAGCAAGATTGCCTTGAAAGGCTGCTCTCACGACGTGGACATCACCAGCCATGGATCCTGTCATGGGTAGGATCCGGAAGAAGCAGCAAGAAGAGTTGGAGGAGGGAGAGGCGGAACATAGAGAGGGGGACGGACGGTCTCGAGCTTGGGGTTAGGGAAAGCGCGCCCACGGGGCGAAAGGAACCGGCTGCCCCTTGACGGACTACTGGAACGACCGCGAATCATTGCACCGGCACACGGCCCAGCACCCAGTGGAGGCGCGTCTGCGCGCAGCGGAATGCTCAGACATGCTGCAGCGGCGCACAAACCGACCCTGAAACGAGCATCTAAGAACTGGGCTGCGCGCCGCCACGGCGTCTCTGAGACTACTGCGGCACAAGGAGGTGGAGGCGGAGGACGAGGAGGACGAGAAGGAAGAGGAGGAGGAGGAGGAGGAGGAGCAAGAGGAGGGGAACAAAGAGGAGGGGGGAAACCTACTGCATCGCGAGCAGGTCCACGCCCAGCACATCGGCGGGGCGGGAGGCAGCAGCACTTTGAATTTCAATCAATGGCAACGGCGAGAAGCGGAGAGGCGAGCAACAGCTGGAGCAACAGCGGCGACAGGAAGAGGAACGACAAAGCACAGAGTTAGTCATTTTACGGCGCTTTACGGGTTGCGGCGGTTGTCATTGACGAGTCCCCGATGCGAGCCGCACTGGGAAGGGCGTCGCGCGCAACGGAGCTGTCGACAACACCCGTCGAACAAAAATACCACCTTGAAGCGGCCGACTGGAAGGGGCGGGGACTGGTTGCACCTGAAGCAGCACCGGCATCCGACCAGTTGCAGCCGTAGATGTCCTCTAAGGGTCCAACGCGCTTTGGGGCCGCGAGCTCAAAGGCGGGGGTCTGCGGGCACAACGGCGTCGGCGTGGCAGGGTGGAGATCAGCCCGAACACAATCATCATCCAAGCGAGGTTCGGGCACCAACCGCGGGGTCAAGCAAAGGCTCGAATGAGGGCTGGGAGGAGGCGGCACGGTACACAGCCACGCCGCCTCAGGCGTGGGCGCATAGAGGTCGCGGCACGGGTCGCAGAACTCAGACGAGTCAACCTCCACAGCCACCGACGAAGACGAGCTGCCCGACAAGGACGAGGGGGAAGACGCGGCAGACCTTGGGGCGCGCCGAGACCGATGCTGCCGCGACATGGGGCTAGCACGGTCATCGTCACCAATGGCTCTCGGCGCTGCCATCTTCATCGAACGAACTCCAGCCATCGTTGCGCTAGAAGCATCCATTTCCGAGGTCGGCCACCGCGAGACGTCCGTCGGGGCGATGCGCGCCCCGCGGGCAGCAACCAAAAAACCAAAGGAGGACGGGGTCGGATTGGCCGGCCCCATCTCTCAGCAAGATCGAAAGGGAAAGTCTGCAAAAGGGCATCTCGAAGGGCGCGGCGCAGGCGAACGTGGCGCGAGTGGCGTAGTAACGAGTCACGAGCACCGACGCACCCAACGGCGCAGCACCGATGCTCCGCGGGGCGCCCGATCCTCAAGGAAGTGAGCCGCCGTCGAACCACGCGCGAATGTCCGACCGCGCCAACGAGCGCGGCCCTATGTTCAGCTGGACAAAGATCGAATCCCAGCCAAGTTCCTTCAACAACGCACCGCGACAGCCAAAGGAAAACCCGCGCAGCTTCACGCGCTGGAATTCACGACGAGCGTCAACGCGAAGTGCGTGCTCACGCAGGGCGCGACGCACAGCGCGTCGCGGTCGCAGGCAACGCCCGCGATCAGCTGCAAGAGCCTCGCGCATAGCATCGCGCTGGGCGTCGTCATCTCGGGCCAGGGCCCGGCAAGGGCCGGGCCTGGTACCGGCGTTGCCAGCAGGATGGGTACAGACGGTCAATGGCGATCATGTCAGGAGATCTCGAACCCCCACAAGCAGCGGCATGCTGTCGCATCACATCGAGCAGACGAACCTGTCCGGGGTAGGCGTGCACCGCAGCATGCAGGAGGGACGCGAGGTTCAGGTGTGCCCGGCGCGTCACCTTCCGCCCCTGCCAACGGTCCACCTGCGCCGATGCATTCAGCGCGAGTGCCAGGAGAGACGCGGCACACCTGCGAACAGCGCATTGCTGGGCATCTAGAAGAACTGACTGATGTTAGAGAAAGTCGCGGCGGTTCGTGAGTTGCAAATGTCCAGGGACACGCCGGCAATTGTCGCGCCATGCTCAATTGCTCGAGCCCGCAGACGGCCTTCAGTGATGGGGGCCCGCCAGGATATGAAGAGGTCGACCGCGGGGCCCAGCCAGACACCCAAGCAGAGGAGCTCCGAGACCACCTTCATGGAGGGCCAGCGGGGTGCCATTCGACACAACACCTCGAAAACATGTCGCGCCAGGTTGTCCGAAGAGGGCACAGCGACTGGCGCCGCGCGGCACTTCTGGATCTTCAGAACAAGATTAGCAACTCCGCATCTTCATCATGCGGGCGACCGAAACCAGGTCCTCTGCGACGGCGACGACGCGACCGCGCGCAGCGACCCCGAGGGGGCGCACCTCGCGGAATCCCACTACGAACCCAGTGGAGGCGCACGCGGAGCCCGAGGAATTCACGATGCCCCGAAGGGCCTGGCAGAGAGACCCCACAAACATTAGGACGGTCACAGGCAGGCGTAAGACACCGGGCACGAACAACATGAGCTCTTGGTTCAGGGAAAAGAAGGCCTGCTCGTAGTCGAGACCGCGAAGGATTGAGCTCGCCACGGAACCATGAGAGGTGACCGACAGCTCGCGACCCGAGACGCCCAATTTGGGGATTTCCAAGCCGCAAGCCGAAGTCCTGTTCGGAAATGACCCCCTCTGACAAGCGGAAGCTGGCCTCTTGAGCGCCGACCTGACCGCCGCGCCGACAATTGCCGACGGGCTGTTGACGTCGCAGTTCCGAAAGCCCCACGCGCGCACTGCGTCAGCGGAGCGTTCCACGAGCCCCGTCTGGAGCTCACCGCCCCCGGCGTTCTTGGGAAGCAAGGCTAGCGGGAGAAGGCTCGCCGCATCGGGGGGCGTCTGACCCCGCGTGGCCCCGTCGAGGCAGCCCCGCAAAATCACTGGGCCCAGCGGGTGGGGGCGCTAAGCTGAATGCGAGAGCCCATCGCATCCCGTCGCGGAACCCAGTTCACCCATGCAAGGCAGGCGTTACCGCGCATGCGTCCCAGCGCGCTCGCGCCCCAAGACTTCCTCGAGAACGCAGGGGCCCACTGACGCGTCAGAAGGTCGACCCGATCGGCCGGGGCGGTCGCAGCCTGGCCCCCGTCGCCAGATGCGGCCGCAAGACGCGCGCGACGATTCAGGGGGGGGCGAAGCCCGGCGCGCTTCTCAAGAGCCCTCGCTCGCAGCCGCAGGGCCCTGAAGACCCCCGCCTTTCCCTTCCTGGCCCAGGGCTCGGCGCGCGAGCGCGCTCCGTGGCCCCCTGCCGGAGGCGGCCCCGCCCCGCGTGGACTGGCTCGGATTGGGCCAGCGCGACCTCGGAGCCGACGACCCTGGACAATGTTGGACGCGGCCGGGCAAAGCCCGAGAAGACGTCGGGCCGGGCTCGCGCCCTGGAGCCGCGCCGCGCGAGCCAGAGACCTGGCGAGCTGGAGGGGGGTGGGCGGATGCCTCGGTTGACGCCGCAGTGAACGATGGGGAGTTTCGCGAGCGGCCTCCCTCATCAAGTGCATGTAATGTTCGAGACGAAAGGGCGGATGCATGCACTGCCAAGCAACGCAGTTGATCATCGCGCGGGGTCGCCAGAGGTCGTTCATCAGGGGGGCGGGCGGAGCGGGGAGTAAGCGAGAAGGCAGTCGCAGCGCGGTCAAAGATGAGCCGATCCGAGACACTCGCTGCCGAGTCGACCGCGGCGGCTTGGAGGCGCAGCTGGCGCGCCTGCCAACCAGGAGGAGAGATGGGCAGACGATAGATGCAAGACTCGGAACTTGTCTTCTGCCGAAATGCGAGGGCATGTCGCGCTCGATCTCGAAGGGCTGCGAAAACGCCCGCCTCTGCCGTCGCCTGCGCGCTGTGATGGCGGGCGGCCCGACGGACTGCGGCAAGCGGCGCATGGAGAGGCGCCGCCTCCTCGGAGGTGACGTTGACATCGCCGGCGACAGCCGCGAGCATCTGAGTCGGGGCTCTGGTCGCCGCAGCCTTTACAACCTCGATCGCCCTCGCGACAGGGCTCGCCTCGCCCCGAAACAAAGCGCGGCTGTGCACGTTGAAGACGCCCAGGCGAATCGCGGCACACTCCGCGGTAACCTCCGAACTTTGACCAGGCACAAGAACCACAGAGCGACTTCGCACTCTCACTCCAGCTACCTGCTCCAACTCAGGATGGGGAACAGCCGCGACATCACGCATGACGACAGGCAGAGGGCGCGGCCGCTTTCACGACGACACGAAGTTGGAGCTCATCCTGTCGAACCTCCTGCAAGCGCAGCGTCGACGAGGCTGGCCACAAACGCATAAGGTAGTTCTGATCCAAAGAACCTCTTTCAACACCATGCTGTCGAATGGCACGGGCATCCCAGGTCACTGCTCGCAGCGGTGGCGATGAGCGCACCACCGAGGGAGCCGAGCGCGTGAAGCGCCGCCCGACGTCAGAGACGCCGCGCGGGCTCCGCCTCGGGCTGCGCGAGCGGCTGGAGCAGCTGGCGCAGGGCGGACTTGTCCAGGTCGTGCTTGGCCAGGCGCTGCCCATCGGAATGGAAATCCGCCGGCGTGTTCTCTGGGCGCGCCCCGATGCGCACGATGCGGCCCCGGCCGACAAACAGGGTGGCTCTCGCGGTCCGTGAACTGCCGCATGTGTGGGTAGGCATCAACAATCGAAGCACGGGCGCGCCGAAGGAGGTCCTCGCTACGGATCTGACGCGGTGACTTTCCAAACCCAAGGTGGACTCGACACCGCTCCGAGCCAGGGGCCTCGACCAACAACTCTCTCGAGTCGCCGCAGCGGCGAAGGCAACGCAACGCACGAGCAACCTTCCGCGACGCAGGGGCGAGCAACCCCGAAAACTTCATGTGGAACCCATTCGTGGGGAGCTGGCCGACGGGCTCGAGGCTGAACTCCTCGCTGCCGAAGCCCAAAGATAAACCCCACGGCGCAGGAACAGCTGAAACACTTTGCGTTGTTGGGCGCTGGACCATGCACACAATGGTGGACGCGGCGATGTCACACACAAACCCTCTGTCAACCAAAACGGGAGCCCGAAGGCGAGCCCCAGCGATAGTCAAGGCCTTATTGAACTTCTACATATGCTCTCGCAACGTGACAATCTCATCTTCCATGCGAGAGATCTTGACATCGTGTTTGATGTACTGGGCCTGCTGCTCGTCGAATTGCTTCTGGTTCCGTCGGGCAGCCTCATCAAACTGAGGACGTACCGTCGCCATGATGTGTTTGCCGACGGCAGCGGGCTGCACAGCCAGTTCATCACGTACCTTAAAGATACGGGCAGACATCGCTCTGTTGGACTCTGAGAGGTTGCTAGTGTTCGTGGCCGTGACGGACGTGCCCCAGTCGGTCGCGAGCTTCTGAAGCGTCGAGTCCAGCATGGGGTGGAACACCTCCTCGCAGCACTGCTTGATGAAGGTCTCCGACGTGACATTGTCGCCCACGTCGCTGAGTCTGTCGACCTGAGCATCACCGTCACCATCAGTAGACAACGCGCGCCGCTTTTGATGATAGGCACCAGGGGAGCGAGTAGGAGCCGAGCTCTTGCCACTGCCACTGCCGCCCTTGACGCCCAGCATCCCCTGCGAAGGGAAAGTTGGAACGACGTCAAGCTCTGCAGCCGCGCTGTCGCCAGCGGCGCAAGAAGGGAGGTCCATGGCAGACATCGGAGGAAAGACGTCGTTTCGAGATGAAGAATAAGCTCGCTCAAGGGCGCAACCGGCTGGCGTCCCAACGGGTCTCGGAACGTGTATGTGGAACACGCAGCCGCACGGGGGGGTCTCGTTGCGATGGTCGTGAGGGTGAAAGCCAGCTGTGGCTGCACGCTTCTGAGAAGCCCCTCGGCAGCGGGGTCACGCCACCCAATATGCGGCGAGTGCTTCGACAGCCAGAAGCGAACGGCGCGGCACCTGGGAACGCCATGATGAGGAAGGACGAGGAAGGGGAACGCGGAGGAGAAGGAGAAGGAGAAGGAGAAGGAGGACGACGACGATTACCAGGAGAAAGGCTCGGGACCACATCTGGGGCTGGGGAGGGCAGGCCGATCAGCGTCGGAGAGGGACTAGGGAAAAGTGGGGGGAAAGGGGAAGACGAATCAAGAGCAGGGGGGGAAGGAGGGGTGTAGGGAAGAGGGGGGTGGAAAGGACGGATGGGGTATGGCAAATTCGTGCCGTGACGGCATCCGATTTTGTATTTATCACCGCGCCGATCATTCATCCGTGAACGATCTCGGCTTTCCAACCGTGGCGACCGTTCGAGATCTGCGCGGGGTCGCCGCTGCGCCAGCACGTCGCGACCCGGGCGTACCTATACAGGAAGAGTGAGGGCATATGGAGGGGGGAGGTGAGACAAGACGGGGGGATATCGAAGGGGATATAGGGGAGGGGGCGGGGAGGATGATGCAAGGGGTGATGAGGGGGGTTTGAACATGGAGTCACTGAGATGGAAGGGGGGAGAAAGGGGAGATACAAAGGGGTATTGTACTGGGGGATGGAAGAGGTTATAAGGAGACAAGGGGGTGAGGGAGGTATGAGCGGGGGGAGCATCGATGGACGAAGGGATGGTTGGACTGAGCAGGAAAGGGGGCGGTCAACTGAGACAATGGGGGCATGCGATCCTCCTCCACTTCCTCCTCCTCCTCCTCCTCCACATCCTCTTACCCACCCTGTAAGCCTGCGGCATCTACTTTGCAAGTCGTGTGCCCCTGTGACTTCTCCGGAGAAACACTGGCCCGCCGTGCTACCCATACCCCCTCCTGTTCGCTATAGTTCGGACAAGTGGGGGGCAGGACGAGGAAGGGCGAGATAGAAAAAGGACAAACGAACCAAACGAACCACCACAACGGACAGATCTGGACCTAGCGAAGACCAAGTTGGGGAGGCCATGTCATTTTGGATATGGTACGTATGGAAAATGCAGACATGCATTGAAACTGCGAGTTATAGAAGCATTATGACAGAGGGGGGGAGAAGGAGGATGAGGAGGAGGAGGAGGAGGAGGAGGAGGAGGAGGAGGAGGAGGAGGGGGAGGAGGAGGAGGAGGAGGAGAAGGAAGTCCTGGTTGTGGATTTCGGCGTCATGTTGCGTCGATGTTGTGGTGCTCGAGGGTTGGCCAGGTTTTTGTTTTTGAGCCAGGCAGACACAGGTGTGGTCGTCCAGTTGTCCTTTCGCATTGGTTGGTGTGGTCGTTGGGTAGAGGTCGGGCTTGCGTTGTTGAAAGGCAGCGGTGATGTGGCGTTTTCCCAACGCTTGCGTTGGCCACCTTGTTGTCGGTGTCCTCGCTGGCGTATGTACCCCCCTGGTTGCCAGTGGAGCGCGCGCCACGTCCATCTGATGGCCTCGTGGTTTGCAACTCTCGACGCCACGCAGCAAGATCCCTGCTTGCGAAATGTTTCCCCGTTTGCAGCGTGGAAGTGCTGTATGGGCGGCTCTGTGCGCCGCGTGGCTCGCTGGATGTAGTCGGCCCACGGCTCCAACGTGTGTTCATCGTCGTTGCTGTTTTCGATCTCGCTGTGCTGGTCTGTTGTGTCTTGCTGAGGTGTGTCGCTGTCGGCGTCGTCGCTGCTGCTGCTTGCGTCGAGGTCTCTGTCATATGCTTCGTTGGTCGTGCAGTCGTCCGTGTCGCCTTGTGTACTAATAGGGCTCGTTTGGTAAGAAATGCGTCGCCTTGGTGTTCTGGTGATCATGAGGAGCATGCGTCGCTGCGTTCGCCACAAGAGCGTCCGTATCTCTGCTCCGTGTAATGCTGTCTGTATTATGGTGCAGTTGAAAAGTCGGGTGTGCCACGGGGAGTATTTGCGGGTCAGCTACCAGCTACTGCTTGCGTGCGCGGGGTGAACGATGCCCATGCGGCCCTCGTGTGGTGGTGAATATCGATGTCCATCGCGTCGTAAGAATCGCTGAGCTGGCCGAGATATTGTATGCTGCCCTCTTGGGAAGGGAGATCGATGCCCATGCCTTGAACGTGCACTGTGCGCCAGGTTGCCTTGCCGGTTCGTCTCGTTTGGTTGCTGGGCATTTTGGTTTCGGAAGAATGTAGCTCGAGTCCGTGAGGTCGAGCTGCGTGCACGATGTCGTCCAGCACAATGTTGAGGCGCGGGAGAGTTTTGCTGGTCAAGGGCACGTCGTTTGCGCAGCGAAGGCTGGTGAGCACGGAGGCGGTGGTGAATCCCAGCTGGTGACTCCTTTGCCCTTGTTTTGCCAGCCAGTGATGGGCGGTGCAAGGATGTGCTGCAAAAGCACGCTAAACAGAACTGAGGGAACTGAGCGGCTCCCCTTGCTTCGTGCCCCGCAAGTGGCCGAAAGGTCGGCTGAAGGGCAAAAGAAGAGAGGGACGCGGGGGGAAGAAGGACGAGGCCCCTCCTCCCCCTCTCGTCTGCTCCTCCTCCTCCTCATCCTCATCCTCCTCCTCCTCTGCTCCTCCTTCTCCGCCTCCTCCTCCTCCTCCTGCCGCGTGCTCTACCTCCTCCTCCTCCTCGTCCTCCTCGTCCTCCTCCTTCTCCTCCTCCTCCTCCTCCTCCTCCTCCTCCTCCTCCTCCTCCTCCTCCTCCTCCGCTTCCTCCTCCTCCTCCTCCTCCAGCGGCGGCACTTTTGGCTGCGTCGCTCGATGCCCTCGGCGGCGACGCTCTATACGACAGCGGCGGCCTCAGTCTGGCTTTCGGGCCATACCTCGGGGCCCAGGCGGCAGCTGGGGGATCCTTACAGCAATCGGGGAACGCCCTCGACAAGGCGCAGCCGATGCAAAGCATCCCGGAGCCCGAAGACCACCAGGAACTCCCGAACTGTGGGACGCTGAGCTGGAGACGACGACGAGGGCGAGGGCCTCCGAAGTCCTGGCAGCGGGCGTTGCACTGGCACGGCCGCGAGAGGTTGAAGCCGGAGCACCCGTAGGCCGCGCACGACCCCGGCTGCGGGATGGCGCCCACGAGGTCCAGCGCCTGCGCTCGGGGAGGGGCGGAGCGGGCAGGCGAAGAGCGGGGGGAGGGGAGGAACGGAGGAGGGAGCGAGGGAGCGAGGGAGCTGAGGGGGGAGGAGCGCGATGCGAAGGGAGGGGGAGGCAGGGGGATGAGATAGGAGGGAGGGGGATGAGCAGGAGGGGGGAGGGTCGCGCCCACGAGGTCTACCACCTGCTTCTGTGGACAAGAGGCACAGCACGACTCAAGAGAGCTCGGGGAGAGTGACAAAACAATCCGCTCACACAGTAGGCCTCCAGAACACGGACAAGGCCGCTTTGAGAGCAGTAGGACGCCTGTGGGAACGCTGGGCGTGAAACTCGGCGTGGGCGGAGGCGATCGCAGCGGAAAACAGTGCCCGTCCAGCGAGTGCTGGACAGGCCAAGCGATACGCTTCAAGAGGGTGGCGACAGCAGGCGACGAGGATCGAGCTGGTCCAGCTGTCGAGAAGCGAGCCAGAGCAGGGCGAGTTGAGACATCGGCAACTCAAGATCGATACCCAGACCCCTCTGGGGTCCAAACGCACTGGATTTTCGAGCTGCGCCCAGCCGTGGCGAAGAGGGCGCCCCCCCCCCGCAGGTCAACTACCGTTGTCTCAACTCACCATCCTCAAAGCGATGACGCCGCGGGTGGAATGACGGGGCCCGCAGCCCCGCAAGCAAGAGGGGCGAGAGCCTCGGGCCGAAGGCCTCCTCGCACCCGCGCGGCCACGCGGAGGTGCTGCGCGAGGCGCGAAGACAGCTCGGCGCGGGAAGCCAGTGGAGCGTCGGGGCCTGGAGACGACTGACCGGGCGCAAGAGCGTCGGGGCCTGAAGGCGGCCAGCCTGGGTCGCAACCCTGCGACGAGTTCCGCCCGAACGCCCCCCAAAAACCCGAAACGACGACGATGTCGTCGACGTCGACGTCGACGTTGACGACGGCTGCGACGACGACGGCGACCGCGTCGACGGCAACGACGACGACGGCGGCGGCGACGACGGCGGCGGCGACATCGACAGCGGCGGCGAGGTTCGGCGCCGCCCGGCTCCTGCCGCCGCGCTGCGGACGTGGCCGCCGAGGCGGACGCGCTGGCCGAGGTGCTGGTGCTGGCCCCCCTGGTCGAGGCGGCGGTGCTCGTCGTGGGCGCCTCTGTCGAAGTGGGGGTGCTGGTCGTCCCGCAACCGCGGTGCGCCCGCTCGCAGCACCAGGCCTGCCGCCGCCACCGCTCGCGCCGACGCCGCCGTCGCCGCCGCCGCCGCCGCCGCCGTCGTCGTCGTTGCCACCACTGCCATCGTCGCCATCCTCAGCGTCCTCGCCGTCGTTGCGGTGCGGTTTTGGGCGGATTTCGGCCGGCGAGGAGGAGGGTCGAGGAGCGGCCAACCCTTCCCCCTCATCCACCCCGTTCGCTCCCGTGTCTTCTCGACTATCTCCCTCGACTCTATCCCTGTCCGGCATCCTCCCCATTCCTTTGTCCAGTCTAGACTTTTCCTGCGCCCTATCCCTCCCAAGCCACTCTTTCCATAATCTACCTCCGCCTTCTCTCCACTGGCTCCTCCCTTCCGCTCTCCATCCTCTCCCATCCCTTCCCTTGCCCTGACCCCTCCCTTCCCCTCTTCACCCGTCACGTCGCGTATGCACCGTCCCGTCAGCCCCCATCCACTCTCCTCCCTGCCCCTCCCATAATATTCTTCACCCTCCCACCTGCCTCCGTCACTCTCTCCAGCCTTCGTCCTCGTCGTCATCGTCGTCATCGACGACGACGTCGTCGTCGTCGTCGTTGCCCTCCTCCTCCTCCTCCTCCTCCTCCTCCTCCTCCTCCTGCCCCCCCTCCTCCCCGTCCTCGTCCACCTGACTGCTCAGAGCCGTGTAGTGTTTCTTTAGTCCCCCCACCCCCAGCCCTTCAAATCCCCTTCCAGGACCCCGCGACCTGGTCCTCGTCCTTCTCCTCATGCATGCTTATGCAAGGGCCTTCTTCGGCTCCGACCACCCCACCAGGTCGGACTCCCAGTGCTCGTAGCCGTGGTTGCAGTCGAAACGCCTCGGTCTCGATCCCAGGGTGCAGCCCCCGTGGGCAGTCGACTGGCAGTGGAAACATCCTTCCCCCTCCCTCCCTGCTCCTCCTTTGCTCCTCCTCCTACTGCTGCCCTCCCGCCCTCCCGTCCTCCTCCAAATCGCATCTCCTCCTCCTCCTCCTCCTCCTCATCCTCCTCCTCCCTCCGCCCTCCTCATCCTCCTTCCTCCTCCCTCCTTACCTCCTCCCTCCCTCTCTCCAGCTCCTCCCTCCCTCCTCCCTCCTCCCTCTTCCCTCCCTCTCCCCCTCCTCATTCTCCTCCTCCAAAAAATGCCCGGGGCACCCGAGTGGGTCCCCGCCCCCGTCGCCGAGGGGGACCCCCTCCCTCCTGCTCCTCCTCCTGCTCCTTCTCCTCCTCCCTCGTCCGCCCTCCCCCTCCTCCTCCTCGGCCGCCTTCCTCCTCCTCCGCCTGCCTCCTCATCCGCCTCCTCCCTCATCCCTTGTCCTGCCCCTTCCTCCTTCATCCTCTTCCTCCCTGCTTCGTCCTCCCACTTCCCCCTCGTCATCCCGTCGCTGTCGCTGTCGGTATCAGTGTCACGGTTGACGTTGCCATCCCCTCTTCTTCCTCCTCCTCCTCCTTCTCCTCCTCCTCCTCCTCCTCTCCTCCTCCTCCCTCCTCCTCCTCCTCCTCCTCCTCCTCCTCCTCCTCCTCCCCTGCGCCCTGCTCCTTCTCCTCCCTCTGCTCCCCTCCTCCTGCTCCTGCTGCTCTTCCCCTCCTCGCTACTCCTCCCTCCTCCCTCCTCCTTCCTCCCGCTCTCTTGCGCCCCTCGCCCTCCGAGACTCCGCGCGCGGGCGCGCTCCCGCGGCCGTGCCCGGCCTCCTCGGCCCTCCCCCGCAGAAGACAGCGGCAGGGGTTGGGGGGCGTCATCCGGCTGCACGCAGGCGTGGCCCGAGGAGTATGTTTTCCTGTTGTTCCTCCAGGCGGCGGCCCACGATGCCTAACGATCAGTAGCAAAGCCTGGATATCCCCTGTGGCCTACTCAACCAACTAGTGACCCTAGGCAGGAGTGACTGACGTGTATTGCGCGACGTCCGGAGGCCGCGGGGAGGCCAAACCCGAGTGCGCAGGCCTCGTGGAGGCCAAACCCGAGCGCGCAAGAAGCCGATATCGCACCGCGTTCTCAGCCGTCTGGGGACCCCAGTGTGCCCGCACCACAGGCCACTCTGGCGAAAAGTCACTCTTACGTGGAGCCGAGCAATGAGCATCGTTGAACCGATCACTGTCCCCACCTGCACGGCCTGGGCTCCACAAGCCGACCTGCCCCCTCCAGGTGGGGATGTGTGCTGCTCCCTTCGGGCATCGCGGGGCCCATCTCCAACTGGGCGGGTGACATAGCGGGGCTGAGACTCTGGCCCCATGGGGGCCAGGGAGCTCGGGGCTTCGTGAACGGGGGCGTAGCTACACGGGGGCTTAGGCTTTTCCACATGCCCCCGGTTGCCATGCCCCCGTCTGCGGCGCCCAGGGCCCCCCAAATGGGGACATAGCCAAACGTACCGTATCGGCATTCCCCGTGGCCCACGTTTGCTGTGCCCCCGTCTCCAGCGCCCTCAGGAGCCCGCGGCCTGTGCCTGCGGCGCGCAGCGGGGAGCCCAGACGCCCTGCTCGTCGCGTGAAGAAGTGGCGGCCAGGGAAAACCTTGCGGCCGTTCTCGGCCTCTGCCGGCCCTTGGCACGGCCCTGGGACCGGCCACAAGAAGAAGGGGCAGGGACGAGCCCAGAGATCTGACGTTGGAAAAGTAATGCAACATCGCAAACAGATCGCCACCAGAGCCTCAGACCCCATCATCCTGCGTCAGTTCTCGAGCCGGATCGATCTGTGACGGTCCTGGTGCCCGAAGCCAAGCGAAAGCACCTGTTGTGAACAGAATGGCGCGCCAGGGTCTGCCGGAGGAGCGGGTCCATGCAGGCAAGGGTCCAGACCCTTCGGGGACCCACTCTGCGAGAAACAAGTGGCAGGGCGGCGTTGGCCGCGCGCCCCAGCAAGGCCGCAGGGAGTGGGGGGGGACGGGGGCGGAGGAGAGGGGTCGCGAGCGAGCCGGGGGGGCGAGGCCAGAACTGGCGAGAGGGGAGCGTCTGTGACGGGGGGGGGGCAGAAGTGGGGTGGGGTGGAGGGGGAAGGGAGAGGTGGGGTGGAGGGGGAGGGATACCGCGATGATTAGGGGGGGGGGTCGGAGGGGAGAGGAAGAGGATCATGATGATGATGATGCTGATGCTGATGCTGATGCTGATGCTGCTGCTGCTGCTGCTGCTGCTGATGATGATGATGATGATGATGATGATGATGATGATGATGATTAGAACTAGGCGGGAAAGCGAGGGACGGGGGTGAAGGGTGGGTGGATGGGTGGCGGGGAGATGAGATGAGTGGGAGGAAGAGCAGAAAGGATCCGATGATGGACAGAACCAGGAGAAGGCTCCTCCCTGGAAATCGATCGAAGTCGGCTGCCACATCGAATCGGCCACGCGACGAATCGTGCGAGATCGAAATGGGAATCGCGCAGCGGCATGCCCCCATCGAATCAGATCGAGTCAGACCCCTGGCCCCGACGTCTGGCCGATCCAACTTTCTCGATGCGTGGGCCCCAGAGGTCTGGACCACTTCCCTAGGGCAAGTTTTTCGTCCTGGGTTATTTGTTGACTGTCCCGAGGAACCCCTCGGGGACGTCCAAGAGGGGGATTTCCAGGTCATGGCCCGAGGTACGTGCGCGGCCAAAGGGGGGCCAAGGAACGCATTAAAATGAGAAGAGGCACCATGAAATCTGGGGAGATATCGAGGCCGTGGCCATGATCTCCCCCCCCCGAAATCCTCACCTCTATCTTGGCCGCCCACGGAACCTGGGGGATCGGTTCGAATCGGCCCGGCGGAGTCGGAAAGCGCCCTGTGTTGAGCAGGGACCGAACGTCCTGGCATTCCTACAGGCCTAATTACCACGGCATGTTCTCAGAACCAAGGAATGGTCTAAGAATAGGAACAACGTTCTTAGAACATGAACCCGATGCAATCAAACAAGGCGGCTCAAGCCTGAAAAGATCCAAAAACATTTTGCACAGACCACAAAAGAAGTTCTCAGAACATTTTTCCGTGGGCCTCCAAGCAGGCCACGACGCTTCGCCACTGCTTGATCACCCCCTCTTGGCCGCCCCCGAACCCTGGGAGATCGACCCGAATCGGCCCGGCGGAATCGGAAAGCGCCCCGCATGGGGGCTCTTGCCCAGCCTGTGCAAGAGGGCCGGCGGCGACATCCCGCCCTCGCGGGCCCCAGAGGGGCGCGTCGGAGCGCTCGCGCATGGCACTGCACCGCTCTGCGCTGCTGTGCGCTACTTCGCGCTGCTTCGCATGGCTTTTAATCGGATCGGCTCCCCCCAAAGATACGACGCTCCGAAACAATTGGAGCGGTCGGCTTTTGGTCGCTTTCGGCCTCTGGGGCCTTCGCGGGGCCTCGACACCGTCAAAGAACTACTCAGGACGAAAAGCCGGCTCTAGGGAAGTGGTCCAGACCTCCAGGCCTACGCATCGAAAACATCTGTGCGGCCGGATGTCTGGGTCGGGGTTCCTGTGCATTGCTCTGAACTGCTTGGACCCTTTTGGGTTGCCTTGCATCGTATTGCTTTGCGATGCGTTGCTTGCGTGGTTTCACCTTGCTTTGAGCGGCCTCGTCATTCTGGAAACTTGGAATTGGGCACCAACACCAACACAGGGGGCTGCCTGGTGGTAGATGATCTTAGATCTTCCTGGATGTTGGTGTTGGAGGTAATTGGAGGAAATTCTTCGGCCACATCGGAAACCCGAATCTGACCACCAACACCGGGATCGGAATCGTCTTCCCTCGGAGGAGGCACACCTCCGGAACGGGTGCTGGCGTCAACTCCAGGCCTCCGACACTTCTCTGCATTGCTCTGCACCGTGTAACTGCAGCGCTGCCTCGCGCTCCCTTCGATCGCTTGACGCTGCGCTGCGCTGCCCTGCCGCCTTGCGCCGCCGCGGGCGAAAAGCAACCACCACCCTGCGGGGTCCGTGCCTTTTCCAGCCAGCCGCCGCACACCCTCGGCCTCACCCTCTCGAGCCGTCGCGCCGACGCCAACAGCGTCCGACCGCGGTTCCACCTAGCATCAGGCCAGAGGAGGGAGGAGGAAAAAGTGAGAAGGAGGAGAGGGAGAAGGGGGCTCCTCCCCTCCTCCTCCTCCTCCTCCTCCTCCTCCTCCTCCTCCTCCTCCTCCTCCTGCTCCATCTCCTCCTCCTCCTCCTCCTCTCTCCTCCTCCTCCTCCTCCTGCTCCTCCCTCCTCTCCTCCTGCTCCTCCTCCTCCTGCTCCATCTCCTCCTCCTCCTCCTCCTCCTCCTCCTCCTCCTCCTCCTGCTCCTGCTCCTGCTCCTTCCTCTCTCCCCCCGCGGGCAGCCGAATGTTCACGGATAGGTGCTGCCCTTGTGGACTCACGTTGAGGGCCCTCCACGTTGCCGACTTCGGAAGCCCCGGATCGAATAACGTCAGCGGTCTCACTTCTGCTTCCGCCGCCCCGGGCGCCGACCTTCCGCTGGCGGGGAGCTGCCACCATTTTTGCTTTCCTGCCGCCGGCCTCTCGCCGAAGGCGACGATGCGCCGAGGGCGGGCCCCATTTTTCCCCCAAGCGGCAAATCTGATTCGCTGTAGTTCCGCAGCGGATGGTATTGCCACGGCAGCGGGCTGAAAGTGTGTTCCCAATCGTCGGCGCCCGCCTGCGCGGCGTCAGCGATGGTACCTTGCAACGCCCTCTGAATTTCGGACACGCTGAACGAAGACCCCACCAGTTCTGCCGGCAGCCTGTTGTGTATATATATATATATATATATATATACATGAGGCCAGTCCAAGCAACGAGCGTTTGATGTAATTAATCAGCAGGGCGAGACCTGGGCAGAACGAAATCGCTGCATTGCCCGTTGGGGTAACTTTTGGAACGGCCCCACCTTGGATGCGGCCGGGAGGTCTGAAGTGGGCGTGACCTCAGGAGGGGGACATGGAGCCAAATCGGCTAAAACTCTGTCCCCCGTCCCAGGGTCCATCTGCTGCAATGTTCCACCCAGGACCTGTTTTTGATGGTCCCGGGGCCCGAAAACGGCCCCCCCTAAGGCCGAAAAAGGCGACATATCTTCCCGAACCCAGAACCTCGAATCTGCCTGCCCGTCCTGCTGGCCAGAACCAACGCTGGGCCACTTCAGCCCCCTCGACGGCTCCAAGCCCCACCTTCGGCTACACGCAGGACTGACCCGAGGCAAGAGTGACCTTCGGCGCGCGGAACAAGGGGGCGCACAATGGCCAAATCCAACCGCGCAAGCAGCCGCTACTATCGCACCGCGCTCACCGATCGGGGGTCCCCCTTGGGCCCGCACCACAGGTCACTCCGGCGAGAGGTCAGTCCAGTCGACACCTGCACTGTGGCCTCGGAGCTGGGCACCCCTGTGAGGAAGCGGCGCGCGGCGGCGGCGTACGGCCCCGCGTCCAGCAGCCGCGGCTGCCCCGCCCGCGCCAGGCGCGCCCACTCCTCGCCCCGCGCCTCGGCGATGGTGAGGCCGCCCCCGCCCCGCGGCTTGAAAACGTATTCGAAGGGCAAGCAGGGGGCCTCGAGATCGTTGTTTGTGTTTCGTTTTGCTTCGCCGCGACGATTCCTTGCCCGCGAAGTTGTTCGCGCGAGGGAGAGGAGGATGCGGAGGATGAGGATGAGGCTCGGATGAGGAGAAGGAAGAGAAGGAGGAGGAGGAGGAGGCCCGTGTCGGTGGGGCCTGAGCCAAGCTCACCTTTACCGATGCGGACAATTTTCGGTCCAAGAGGCTCAACGCTCCCGACCTCGAGCTGACGCCTGCGCCGAACGGGTATCATATATCAATGTGAGCAAGAGATCCGCCTGCATAAGACGTGGCGCCAACTGCCAGTCCCGAGGCGCCATCTGTGCGTTTCCATGTTCAGGCCTCCCCCGATTTGCTCGGCTCGCACACACCAGGAAATCCGTTCCGCTGCATCCGTTCCTGGTAGACATATATCACCTCCCTTTTTGCACCTCGTGCTGCAGAGCGGGAGGTGGTGCACCAAGGACCGAGAGGACCTAAAGGAAAAGGCAGGCTGAGTCGTCCTCGCGGTGCTGGCCGCGCTCCCAAGCAGCGGAACCGATAGTCCCTGGCTGGAAGACCCCTCCCCCTAGAAACGGCCGCCGTCTTAGACAGCTGGCCACCCCCAGGGGTGCTGTCCTCCCTGAGGGAAGGACAGCGGGAGTGTCTGCCGGCTCCCGTCCACTTTGCTCCAGGTGCTGCGGAAAACCCCCGCCCGCTGTCAGGAGGAGGAGGAGGAGGAGGAGGAGGAGGAGGAGGAGGAGGAGGAGGAGGAGGAGGAGGAGGAGGAGGGGGAGCGAGGAGGAGGTGGAGACGAGCGTAGAGGGGGCCGCGTGCCCTCCCACCTACGGCGGCGGGGGCGGGGGCGGCGGGGCGCCAGGTGCGTCCTCCGCGCCCAGCATCTGGATGGTGGCCGCATCCGTCGCAGCCGAATTTATATCAGGTGGGGAGCTGGGGGCGGCAATGGTGACGGCTGGAAAGCAAGGGTCAGAGCTCAAGCAGCATGGCGGCCGAGCGGGACCGAAGACCTGCGCACGGTGAGGCAGGGAAGAACGCGAGGAGCAAGCAACAGCATCGGCAGTCATCGTGGTGAGCGAAGGACCAGGGGGGGATGAGAGGACAGGTGCACCGAGCCAGAGGTCAGACAATTGTCAGCGCTAGACCTCCAGTTCTTATTTCCCAGCTGGGGCGCGCGGAGAAGCTCCGCAACGGATGGAGACGTAAGACCGAAACAGCGGACCCCAAACAGGCCAGCGGGGCACGAAGAGCAGCGAGCACTGTTGGGGCAGGGAGCAGGCGAGCGGGGGCGAGCACGCCCGAGCGGCCGGTGGGCGGGAGAGGCCAATGAGACCACACACGAGGCTACAGGAGCGCTGGGGGGACTCAGGTTCACAGGACATTCACGCGATCTGTCACGATCAAGAGTTATGGCGCAGGCCTGCATCTGATAAGAGAGATGGTCAGAACATGATGTGGGCGCGGCAACCGATGGGGGCGGAGCCATTGGACCCGCGGCCGTCCTCTGGGCCGACGGAGATCGCACCCGTGGCCTCGAAGGAGCCCTCCCAGGAGACGTCGACCAAATCCATCCGCGCGGCGACTGTCTGGCAGCATGGGGCAGTATGGGGCCCAGAGCAATAACCTCACAATTTGTGATAGCCTGCAGCACTGGGTTCGAGGAGCACCCAAGTGCAGGACTTCGCGTTCTGAGCCGTTCCGTAGGCGAGAAGCTCACAGGTCGAGACTCGCACCCCGACGAGGGGGCGTCCACGCAATCTACTCGCTGAGCCTGAAGCGGCAGGCTCGAGGAGCACCCGCCGTCAGGACTTTGCGTTCTGAGGCCAGTGGGCGGCAGAGGTGTGTCCTCGCAACTTACTCTGTGAGCCTGGTCAGACGGGCTCGAGGAGCACCCGCTCACAGGACTTTGCGATCTGACCTCCGAAAGGGTCGACCGCTCCCAGTCGCAGTCGCGCACGTCGTGCGAGTGGATATCACGCGGAGGGGTGGCCACGACCGTCGATGGAGTCCCAAGTGTTGCCAGAGGGGTGCGCGGGCAGAGGTCGAACGAGACCAGGTCGTCCCCGTCCGAGTCAAGGTCCTGCGGCTCGGGGATCAGCTTCGGTGTCAGGCCAGGGCCGCTGGGAGCGTCAGAGTCATCCTCGCCAGTGCCAAACGGCGCGGAAGAAGACGACGAGGAAGTCGATGAGGAAGAAGACGGGCACCGATTTCGTCTCGTCATAAAACGGAGGTTCCACTGCGGGGGCGAGTCGTCAGGTAAGGCTACAGCAGAGGCCATCCGCATGCTCCTCACGCCCGCCAACGCGGCGCTCAACGCATCCTGCTCCGAGATCGGCCAGTCTGAAATCAGACGGATCGTGTTGTACACGCTCACCGCAGCGGCCAAGAAGCCGAAGGCGGCAGTAGAGGGCTCAACCAGGCCCCACCTCTCAGCTAGCTCCAACGGGAAACCATGCCCAAGAGCTCGGCGCAAAGCTGCATGCATCCGCACGCACCGTGAGTCGTGGAGGAGCGAGTCAGCGCAGTTGTAGCACCCAAGGGCGCAGCCGCGCCTGCCTGCAGGGTGGAGAATGCGCGAGGAGGTAAGCCAACCATCGCACCATGTCCGCAGGGTGGCCCAAACCCAAGAGCATGGGCACAGGTTGAGTGTGGTTGAGACGCGCAGCCAATCGATCTGGTCGAGGAGAGCACCATGGCGAGGGAAGAAGAACTTCTGAAGCCGCGTGCGGAGGAAGCCGTGCATGGGCGTGGCGCAGGCTGCCAGGTCACGCAGAGCTCGGTGGACAGCTCGCTGGGGACGTGGGCGGACGCCAGGCGAGGGATCAGCAGCGTCGGCAAGCGCTTCACGAGCACGAGGAAGAAGCGAGGCCCAAGGGCCCGCAGGGGCGGGGCCAGCCAAGGCCAGGGCAAGGTTCTCCACAATAGCGGGGCTCCGCCAGAAGCCAGGGTAGAGCGCACCCGAGCCGACCATGTATAGCGTCCTGGAGTCCGCGAGCGCCGCAGCATGGGCCCGTAGGCCGTCCAGCAACGTCTGGTGATCGGGGAAGGTGTGGGCGGCCGCTCTCAGCAAGGACGCCACGTTGAGGTGCGCCCAGCTCAGGACACGCGGGCCGTGCAGGCGATCCAACTGCACCCAGGCGCTCAGCGGGAAGGTGCCCAGCGCGACACGAAAGACTTGTGCGAGTACACCCAGCTCGCAGGCAAGGACGGCTCGCGGCATCCAAAATCACTGGCTGACATAAGAGAGTGTGCTAACAATGCGAGTGTTGTAGATGATGGAAGAGAGGCTGGCACGGGTGACGCCACGTCCGACTGCTCGAGCCCGCAGCCGCGCCTTCGCAAGAGGGTCAGTCCAGGGCCTCATCAAGTCAACAGAGGGTCCCAGCCAAATCCCAAGGTACAGGAGCTCCGGGACGATCTTCATGGCAGACCAGTGGGGCACTGTATTGGTGAGCCTCCCAAGAGCTTCCGACGCGAGGGCAGGACTAAAAGAGGCTGACAGGGGCACAATCTGGCACTTATGAATATTCAAGACAAGGTTCGCCACCAACTCCGCCTCCCTCATCGCGAGAGCGACCCAGGCCAAGTCTTCTATGCTCATCAGCGCGCCGCCGATGTCGTCGGCGCAAGCACGCACGAGCCCGCGGCCCGTCTCTTCGATCACGTGCACAAGGTGGTACAAAAACGGGAAAGACGCAATAGCATAGAGAGAACCCGAAAGGGCGCGCCCCTGGATGATCCCGCTTCGGACCCAGTATAAGTGAACACTGGGCCCCATGGAGACCGCTACGCCCTCGATGGCCTCATAGAGGAACCCCGCGAACTTCAAGATGGCCTCGGGAAGACGAAGGGCCTCGAGAATAAACAGCACGAGCTCCTGATTCAAAGAGGGGAAGGCTTGGCCGTAATCCAAGCTGTACAGTATGGGCAGGTCCCGTGAGCCCTGCGGGGTGCACGAAAGCTGACGACCCGACACATCCAATTCCAGTACGTTCAGGCCGAAGTTCCTCCCAGGGACGAGGCCTCTCTGGCACGGTGGGGCAATGCGCTCGAGGACGGGGCGGAGGGCGGCGTTCATGGTGGCCGAGAGGACCTTCACATCACAATTGCGGAGGCCAAGCACCCTCACTTTGTCCGCACCCCTCGAGACCTGGCCGGCCTGAGCCTCATCTTCAGACACGTTCTTGGGTAAAAAGACCTGGAGGGTGGCACTTGCAGAGTCAAACAACGCTTGGCCACACATCAACCACTCGAGGCAGTCCCAGAGGATGGTGGAGCCGAAGGGGATGGGGCGCCACGCGGTGTAGGAGAGCCCATCACACCCAGTGGCAGAGTCGGACGCACGTGCTAGAAGAGCGCGGAGGAGGCGAGGCGTGGGAGTGGGGAGAACCACATCACCAATTGCAAGTAAATATTTGGCAGCGTGCTCGACGGCTCTGTTGTGGTCCCAAGGCTTCCTGGAGAAGACGGGGCCCCAGTAGCTCTTCAGCAGGTCCACGCGCTCGGCAGGGTCACATGCGGAACGTCCACTCTCATCGGTAACTGCCGACAGGCACACACGTCGATGTAGTGGGGGCCAAAAGCGGGCACGCCTCTCCAAAGACCGTAACTGCAGGCGGGTGGATCGCATGTCCTGGGGGGAGTCGCTCTTTCTCTGCAACTCAGCACGTGCACATTCAGCTGCTTCCCACTGGAGACGGTCGGACCAGGCATGGAATGATTCAGGGTGCAACAATTCGACCACTGGCCCCTGGACACGGATGAAATCGGACGCAACGGGGTGGGATTCTAATAATCTCCAAGCAAGCTTCACAGCTTGACGCCACACAACTCTGGCCAGTGAGCGGGCAAGCTGCAACAGAGTGGATGGGTGATGGGGGCGCCGTCGGAAATCATTATCACGTGCCTCACGAGCAGCTTCTTCCATGAGATATTTGAAGTGCTCCAATCGATATGGCGGCGACATACTGTCCCAATCAGCACAATCAACCATGGCACG